ACTGAAGTCCGTCGTCTCGCATCCTTTGAGGTTATAGTACCGAATTTGCCGATATACCTCTGTGATTTACGAGTATTTAAAGGTATAGGCGGTAGCTAGTGCTAAATAGTAGACTTTAGAAGGCTAATCTCCTCTGCTATCTGGATAATATAGCGGGAAAGCCGATCGATCTATTAGCTGGTATTTAGGTTAATACCCTTACGCTTAGCTATCCTAGATATCTTCCCTTATATACGGTGTGCCTAGGTTGCAGATATAGGCGGGGAACTAAGTAAACTAGATAATTATTATAGCGGTGGAGTATCCTTAGTAGGCTAATAAAGCTCTAGCGTAGGTGATCTTATAGCCCCGAGGCATTTAATAACTATAGCTAGATTAAAAGGATAAACACTACGGTCTGCGAATACCTTCCGAATAGTACGCGACTTTAATGCCTACTCCCGTATACTAATAATCTCGCGGAAGAAGACACTAATATCCTTTGTATCCCTACCTCACTGCACGAGAGTATTATTCTTAGCGCGGAATCTCTCTTTTAAGGCTCGAAATAGGCTTCTATTAAGAGGCTAGATAATATACGTAGTATACGGAGGGAAGACAAAGGCAATAATATTTTATTATTCGCAAAGGTGAAGGAATTCCTATATAAGATATAAGCTATAACTATCGAAAAGTAATAATCTCTGACTACCACGGGCGCGGTTATAGGTATATTACTAAAAGAAGCGAAGCTAATTAACCGTAAGGATATTATTCGAATATCTAGATAGCGATACTATAATTCGTGATTTATCTAAGAGGGTTACGCTATTATACTATCGCTCGAGGTAGATAATACCTAGTATAATAAAATATAGCTCTATAAGCTATCTATTAGCTATAATATACTTAATTTTAGTTAGGAGATTACCTCTTTCGCTTAAGATTAGCCTCGTGCGATACTTATTGCGGCTAATAACCTTTTAAGGCTTTCCCTAACCAAGTTAGAAGCTAATCTTATCGAAATTATAGATATTCGATAGCGGAATACGCTTTACGAATAGCTTAAGATAATTATACTAAGCTTATAGGATATTAATATCCTTAGCCTCGACCCTTACCTTCTCCGCTAGCTTTTATTTTACCTAATAAAGGCTATTAGGTAGGCGCTTAATAAAGTTTACACCTACGTCTTATTAACTAGTGCTCCCCTATCTCTCTTAATCATCGCATTCGCACTCGCTTTAATTATACGCGCGGTAGGTGGAACGTGGAGACTATTAAGAGTATTAATCCAGCTAATCAATGCTATTTCTTGCGAGTGATCAAGACGCTTAGTGGTGATAGTACGCTGAGAGCGAGATGGCCGACCGTGGAGACGTGCCCGCAGCCGGGTTATTAGAACGTCGAATTGGCGCGCCAGCGAGGTGATTTTTGGCGTTTTTTTGGCATCTGGCGGCTTCGCAAGCGGCCTGGATACGTAGCTCAATGGCTTTATACGAAGGATCCATAGTGGGTGTGGAACAATGGGTGTGAATAGCTTCAAGATGTGTGTTGGGATCCAAATTTGCGTTGGGCCCCGGCGGATCAACACCCGAAGCGGTGTGGGTATGCTACGGGACTATTATACGTAGATAACATCTTGCTTCTATCGAGAGATTATAATTGGCCGGATGGTGTAGTTGGTTATCACGTGTCGTTAACACCGACAAGGTCCTGGGATCGAGCCCCAGTCTGGTCATTTCTTTTTTTGGTATTTTATTTTCTATTCTTATTTGTTTCTTATTTTTAAACTTGAATTGGACTTCATTTGGCAAAACGGAAACGGACACTAAAGACATCCACTATATGGATGTAGTTTCATTGTATTACCTGTTACTAGCAGGCAATTTTTACATTCGTTATTTAAATTGTAATCTACACGTATCTGGGACTGACGGCGAATTACGCTATTGGGTTTGGCACCCGAATCCGTGCGCGTGGTTCTATAGTCCCTTGGTGTCCCCTCTATGGCCGCTCCTAAGTTTGCTTTTCTTTTTTCTTCCGCTCTCCCGCTCCCCTTTTTTCTGGCGCCTGGCGCGCCCGTCGCTATCTGTGCTCACCCGTTGAGGTATTTTTGCTATTGATCTAGATCGCCCAAGCCTGCTATCGTTCTCGATAGGCTTCATCGTCGGTTTCTTAGGTGCAATCCGCGGCTCCTCCTCTTAGCCTACGCCTGCTATTTTTAGTCGAACTACAGGACCTATCTACTCGTACTAAAGCAACCTTCTATTGGGGTTATAGACCTAGCTATCGTTAGAGCTTGGAGCTCGTTAACTTCATAACATTGATGTATCTCATCTCAAGCCTAGTACTCGTACTTACCACACCTCAAATCACACCTGTATCACAGCTGGATCATGACAATTACCCCCGGTACTTTGCAAGTTGACACATGGTGACACTAAAAATCATGGATTGCCGTAGGCCATGTCAATGGATTGCTCTCGAGGACGGACAAACCTTGCGCCCCCTAATTCTCCTTATTCATCTTGACGTTACCAATGAACTAAATATTGCGGAGGCGGCGGCCAAGGTGAAGCAAGGGCTCAACGCGGACCTCGACATCGTCATTTCAAAACGCTGGATATATATCTGTGTAGATCCGAGTTCTCGATTTAGATGAATATGACTGGCGGACCTATTTCAGAGTCAACCTTTTGGGAGACTTCCACGTCAATAAATACTTTGTACCGGATTTGTTCGACACCACGGAGGGGATGAAGACGGTGATTGCTATTGATTCTGTCGCCTCGATTGGTGTCTGTTCGTACAATGCCGGAAGCCCTTTCGCATCTTTTCGAGGACTCGACGTCGCTGGTTCGAGAAACTATCGCGTGGTTAAGACAGGAGAGAAGAGATTGGTTATAGGGGCATTGGAAAAGCTGCAACTGGGATATAGGAGAGCTTATGGCTAGAAAACAAGAGATCTTGAAAAGTGACGAGCTCAAGATGCGTTTAAGAGTCTAGACTTTATGTATCAAGTCAGTAGTAAATATGACATCTGAACTAATTCGGCTACGTCTGGGAATATGTAGATTTCCTGAACTCAGTTATATCGGCGGTTGTATTTGGATAGTGTGCTCTTTAGCTAGATAGCGAGCGAGGCTTCCTTATTTAAAAGTTACAAATTAGTAGCAAAAGGCAACTTGGAGGACATCATGTGTCTAATATTAGTCAGCCACAACAAATCAATGGCTATGATCTTCAAAGTAGACTTTGCATAGGCAAACCGTTTATGAGGTGTGCCTTGAGTTTGTCAGTGTGGCTTTCATGCCTTTTTGCTTCGTAGATGCTCTATCACGTAGTATAAGATATATAAAATATAAACATGAATCATATTTGCATTGCAGGAAAGTTTATCTCATGCTTTTGTTTTAAATGTCTCTCGTGTATCCTGACAGATCACTCGCTTTTTAATCAAAAGCCACCCAAAAGCTTGAATTTGGTCATTATATGAGACTTTCGACTCTACGATAGCATTGGCAGCAATAGCCAGTGAGCATGCGGAACCCCAGGATAGACATCTAGCTTAGTCTTTATACTAGATTCCCCCATAGCACATATTCATAAATAATTTCATACTCTCAAAGCGAGTCCAGCACAAAGCTGCAATGTACGCAGGCGGGATATTAACGTGACCGTTTGTATGACTCAAGATTGCAAATCCCTCGCCATTTTCATATCCGGTTTGTAGCCACTAGTCAGCATATGTACAGCCCGAAGAGGCATTTTAGAGCGTCCGCATTCTCAACTGAGGATGAGTATTTGTCCTAGTAAACTGCCGGCATCGCTGTCCCACCGTAGTCCATTGGGCATACTAGGACTTGTCCAGTTAAAGGGGCTAAAGAGCGGTATCGCGTGCAATATGGGTGACAGTTGCAGATAGATTGGCGCCGGCAGATGATCCACTGACGCTAAGAACCATAGCTTCTGGGTTGGCATCGAGGTCGTCAGCATTTGATGCGACCCATTTTAGCGCATCCCATGCATTATCAGCAGCGTAGGGAAAGAGGAACTCGGGTGCCAGGTGATAGCTCGTAGACACGCAAACTGCCGAAAAAGTCCTAACTAAATCGCGCGCCGTTCCTGTGTCTCCCCCTCGGTAATCCTGTGCAGAAGCCACCACCGTGGAACAAGAGCACCAACGGACTACCTCCAGCGGGGATTATGCTTGGTTGATATAACATTGCCCGTAAAGCGACACCATCTCTCGTTCGGTAGGAAATCTCTGTTTCTTTCACTCCCGCTGGTGATGATGGGAGGGTTTTCAAGATATTTCCTTGTCGAGTTTTCGCGGAGAGGACGAAGCAATGTAGATCCGACAAATCTTGGAGGGGGGGGGGGGATTGGGTGGCATCGTAACAATTAGGGGGTACTATATTATATGATAACCACCAAATGAGAATACGATCCCCGTTTGGTTGAACTTATCTCTTGAAATTCAGAACCCATTTCACAGTTTGGACTGACCTCTTTGCCAGGTCGGGTGAAGATAATCACGTGGGGAGGATTGTAGAGTTCGAGTTACTCAATTGTGCAATGCATTCAGGGTCACACATTATAGTCAGACCCACTTCTCTCCGGGTTGAAACAGATGTCAAATGCCGGCTGTTGAGCATGGTATACTGGAACCGCATCGGAACACCGCGGTGGGAAACCTGTGTTATGAAAATAAGCGCTGGCAATGCCCGGTCATGCCGGGTGCAAAACAGGCCTGTTTTATACGACTGGCTTTTACCGGAGAGCATAAAGTTCAATTCAGATGCGCGTAAATTATGTCTATGGACCTTTTTCGGCTTTTAAATTGCTCTGAAATTATCAGCTCTGAAAAGTCGCTTCATTTACAATTGGGAAGCTCTCCTGGGGAAAATGTTGGGGAAGTTTGAAAGCCAGATGATATTGATATCATGAAGTCGGCTGTCGTAGCATACTAGCAAGAGAGTATGGATATGTAGGGTATCAACAATACGTAGCAAGGATCACAAAATGGTGTCCACAAAGTCTTTAAAGTCTTGATCGCTAAGCACCAAGTCACCCTCCGTGACTCCTGGTGGCCGGTTATAAAGAGCCTCGAATGGAAGCACCATAGGGGCATTGTCAACTCGAGGGGCACCTGCAACGCCACTTGAGGTGACATCGACCTTATAGTGAGAGTACATCTGTTGTGTACCTGCAGCCTGCTGAATAAGAGGCGGTAGATGTCGCCGGCGTAGAGAGTCGATATAGACTCGCGTAAGAGGGCGGGGTGAATTTGGCGGGGCTAACTGCCAAAGCTCAAACTCGACTTTGGTTTGCTTGATGCTAATAACTAACACTATCCGAACTTCTCCACCGGAGTTATTGAACCACCATTGGGCATCTTCGCGGAGCCGCGAAAGAGACTCTGAAACACCCGTTTCAATCACGAATGTTGGCCAGCCAACAGGTTGTCCAGGGGAGGCACGGCGGCACGGCGGGATAAAACATTGGTCAGCCTGCTTGCCCTTACTAGCGGTGGGCTTATAGGTTGTTGTCATAGCCCATTTTCTATCGACCGATCGGATTCCCATCGCCATTAAGTACTCATCGATAGTCCGAGTGACTTGATCAGTAGTGGCGTTATGTGTATGCGATGGGACCACTTTAATAAGTCCAACAGTTCCCTCCCATTGAAAGCGATAGTCTAAGCCGGATAATCCTTGATTCTCGAGTTTTTCGATGCCACGCTTAGAGACTCCGAGCAGAACAAGGTACTGGTTTCCATTTTCTTCGTTGTCTTGGAGCACCTTCAGGATGTTCGAGGTGTCTATCTGCAGTTGTTTGAAAGTTGTAAAGCTCCGCATAACATATCCAAGAGGGAGATTCGCCATTAACGAAGAGGGTTCAGCGATAGCAGAGTCTGGGTTCGACATGGCGCCGAGTCGAGGAGCACTTTCAACGGTGTCAGAAAATAGAGAAGACATAACTATAACGCGGAAGAATTTTCAAACATGGGGACAGGAGAGTAGTTTACCAATGACATTTACACGGCCTTTCTCGACTCTGAATGATGGAAGGAAGGAAGGAGCATCTGTGCCCGCATAACGCGAACGTCATTAGTTAGTGCTTCACCCTGATCGGGACTAGTACCCAAGACCGCGGGGCGACCCAAAGGGTGACCCCTGAGCCGCTCTCCCCTTCAGCGTTCTGCCAGTCCAAACCGCCCTACCCACGATTCCTCTACCGCTACCTAGCATATCTATGTATGACGGACAACGAAGTCATTCTGGGTTCACATTTTGCAACTTTTCTACTGTGGAACACAGTCAAAGTAGACGACTCAGTCTCTGAATTCCTCTCGAGGTTCCCAACACAACCTCCCCGCTCCACAGTACGAGCTACCAGAAGTAAAAAGGCCCTTCCAGCACCTTACCCACTTGATTGGGTTGCGGATACCTTCAAATTCCGCCAAGACCTTAACAACTTCCTTGCCACGAACTCAGAATACTTAAGCCTGAAGCAAACAAGCATTTCGGATCCGTCTACTCTGTCATCGGAGCCGTCTTCATTGACACCAGCTACACCCAGTGTTTCGCCTGTAACGGACAACGAACTAGCAGCACGGATAACAGTCCGTCACCTTGACCGCCCAAACGTTACTCGACCTCTCGACCCACGAGCAAAAGCACACTCCAGAATGTCTGCAGCCTCGAGGCCATGTGATCGGCTAAGCCAACCAAGCACCGGCCACTCCGACCAGACAGAAAGGACTCAGTCCTCGACAGGTCAACAAGAGCCGATGATGACTGGGGCCATTCAAGCTGATCAAGTGCCATTAAGCACGCCAGCGGCGCACATGGATCACGTCCCCTCGATGCCCGCGAACCCTCCAGCAGCATAGGTACCGCATCCAAGCTTTGTTCCTAATCCAACTCAACCGAACTATGCTTAAGCACAAGCCGGTTTCTCCCAATTTCCTTATTATCCTATTCCACCATATGGCTACCCCAATCAATCCATTTCTAACACTGATGAGATCGCATCCACGAGGCGCGAGATGCAGGACCTGAGGGATCGACTGGAGCGGCAAACTCGGAGCAGTCGCCGCTCGGAGCGATCGAGAAGGGATCTATTATCTTCTCCTAGCTCAGATGATCGACACAGATCTCGTAGCTATACAGATCGTTCGGTACGGTATCGTTGCCACTATCGGAACCGACAGGATGACTCCTCTATCCCGAGAGCGTTTCTGCCCGCCTATGTTAGGCTATTTCGAACCAAACGAAAGAGAGCTATTTGTCGAAGTACGTGATAAACAAAAGGTATACCATAATGTGTATAGTTTTGTCAATGCAGTCAAATTGGCTGAAGATATATACGACGAGTCTTTACTCCGGAAGAAGCTCCAGCAATGCTTCCTTGGCCGAGCGAGCACCTGGTACGAACGTACAGTCACTCAGGACGAGCGTCAGGAGTGGCGCTAAGCGCCAACCATGGAGCCTTGGTATGAGGCTCTACGGGACAAGTTCAGTATGCCTACTACCGAGGGTAGACGCATATATAATAGTTTGGGATACTTATTGGACGGCGTTTATGACCGACGTGACCCCGACGAGTTTCTACAGGATGGAATTGTCTATGGCCAAGAAGCCTGTGAAGCCACCACGGATAGGGCTTAGGCGCAAGCTGCTTTCAACAAGTTCACACCGTTCCTCTAGATGTCCCTGACACCCCAACCGAGCAGACGACTATGGCAGAATTCAGTCGCCAAGTCAATCAGCGTAAGAACCAATGGTTCGCAAGCTACCAGCGAGTGAGTAACTCTAGCCGTCGCGGCCTCAGGAATCGGGATACTAGTCGCACCAGACGGCCACTCAGAGACACTGAAGCCAACAATTCAAACCGCAGACAGGATCGCCGTGATTACCGCCAACCAGATGAGAAGCTTGAACGTCGAGGGTATGCAAACCCTCGTGACCGTGATGATCGGCGTCGAGACGACCGCCGTAACCGAGACGTCCGTGCCAATCGGGAAGATCGCCGCGACCGGCGCGACCGACCTGATCAACCTAGCTGGAATCGGCGCATTGAACCTACTCGACGTGATCGACGCGATGACCAGGACATTGCCCGACCTTACCGAGACGACCGAGAAGAGACTCGTAAGGCCAGAGCCTACCGAACAGAAGCCACCGACGAGTCATACTCATCAGTGATGATCCCTACTCCGACTCTGATTACCAACAGGCGCATTTTCACCACCGGAACGTGACACCTCACGGTCACGCTCCGTTCCTCCTCCAGTCAATAACAACCAGACAGGATCTGACCAGTGCGGTAGGATAGCTACCGCACCCCGTCATGATGAATGAGACAGACTTTATCATCCCATTTTCCAACATGCTGGGCAAATCTAGAGATTTTTAGTCACTATTCGGATCAAGGGCTAGAAGAGTGGTACTTTTTGAAGTTCTTTCCTACACAGCCCACTTTCTATTAGGTCGAGGGCTTATATTTTTCCGATACATAGGATCTAGGCCGGGGGTTGCACTGACGAAGGCATTCCAGTCAGTGACTTTTGGCGCCTTGAGATTTTTCTTTAACCGCATCTCGAATCGTGGAAGCCGAGAGACTCACATATAATCTGAAAGGCAAGTCTAAGACCGTGGACCTCCAACTTTATGTTTTCTCCTCCACTAGAACTCACATTGGGGCGGTGGTAGGGTTATTTTAGATTGGAATTCAAGGTTGAAGCTTATTGGGTAGAGCATAGTCTGTGGCGGGGGACACGCGACGCTAGGTGGGAAGACTATGATTTTGCGAAAGATTGCCACGATTTTTTGACAAAACACCACGCACAACCGCGGCCTTTCCACCGTCGCCCTACAGTTATCACGTATCGTTAACACCGATAAGGTCCTGGGATCGAGCCCCAGTCTGGTCAATTTTTGCTTTTCTGAACTTTTGTTCTTATTTAGTTGTTGAAGACCTCCCGTCTAATCAATATTTTTTGTCTTGCCATCGTCGCGGAGGAACCACCCAAGGTAGTCAAATTCGTCTCGGTACAATTGATTGCGAAATCTGATTCCATCTCCAAGGCAGATGTCTTATTTCTCGGCCACACTACCGAGGGTAACCAAAATAAATTATTTGGCAGCGTCAATAAGGGCTTGCTTGTATAGTACAGGTACATTACCATATTTGCCGTCAGGCTTACAGTATTAACGTTACATGGTAAACATGCTAATAAAAGGGACTTGTTTGGTGCCACGGAGAGTATGGCGTTGGGTTGGGATGTCGCGACAGCGGATTACGGACCAGGTTTCTGGCCATATCTATTGCTTTACGGTCCAGATTGGATGAGTCAGCCAGGGCGGTGGGAACATGGGGGTTTTGTATCCACATAGTCCCGGTTCGAACTTAGTATCATTACCAATCTTACAAGTTGTTTTACACTTCCTTACGGTCCAGGTTTCCGTACCTTACGAGTCATACTTCTTGTGTTGTTTTATACCAGTCTGTGAGATTGTGTTTTAGGGATCCCGCACGGTCCAGGGGCCAAGAAGAATACTGACTCGTGTCTAACCTCAAAGTGGGGCTTTAAGCACAGCCGTTCGAGCCAATAGTATTGTGTCTCTCGCCGCCTCATGTCTATGATGAGGCTGAGCTTTCAAGGCTAGAGACGAAATTTACTCTTTCTTCCACTCACCAACTTTCTATCTCCTGTAAACGAGCCCATTCATACTTATGTCTGAATATCAACACGACCGTGGCGACGTGGTTTCGGACATTTAGATTTGGGAACAACTCTAGAAATGGGGGTATACTCTCCAAGGTCAGGGTCAGGCTGGAGTAAGAGCTGCTATTATCGCTATGCTTTTTGCTATCTTTGCAACGTTGATGTGAAGTGAAATCTACACCATATCAGGTGGACTACGTCCTAATTCCTTGTGAAAGTGCCAAAATCTTTCGTTTCTTCTGATAGCGCATGGCTGATCATATAAGAGCAACTATAAATATAATTCACCTTTTCATATTCGGATCATGCAGATTGAAGCTCAACGTGCTTTATTGACATCAAAATCTATCGACCAACGAGTTCGTCAAGTCTTACGAAATCATTCGGATTCGCAATTCTGATTGTTCTAGTGTCCACCAGGTTCTTCTAGCTGTCGACAAGATTGTTCGTCCTGGGTCTCCCCCTTCCCGCCGGCTTTGGGAACAGTTCTGGGAATTCAGCCCGCCGCCAATTTTCCAGTCTCTTGAACAGCAGCTGTCGTGGCGTTTCACCCCGTGAATTGGACTGATCCATCATGATATCAGCCCCTGCCTCCAGCAAAATAACACGCATCTCATCCAGCGCTTCTCTCTGATCAGCAAATGTGGATACCACACATCCATGTCTGTCTAAAATGCTTCCCACATGCAAACAATGGTGCAAAGCTGTATTTCCTCTGGAATCGGTAAGACTGACATCCGCGCCTCTACTTATCAGAAATTTGGCCGCCTGAACTTGTCGTAGATTCCTGGCTATAAGGTGCAATGCAGTATTCCCGTTCTTGTCCTGCTGATTGATTTCGACACCGTGCGATAGAAGGATATCCATCAGAGGGATGTCGATGGGATCACCACCTTTGCAATTGGCTGCGAACTTGTGTAGCACAGTTTGGCCATTGTTGTCCACTATATCTGCTTCCGCTCCATTCTCCAGTAAAAACTTCACCATCGTATCTAAGTGTTCGCTCCCAGCGCAGCATGCGTGCCCTCTTATTGCGTGATGCAACGTATTTTCGCCCTGGTCGTCTGGAGAATTGATTTCACTACCGGCTAGGAGTAGCTTTAGGGTATCCATGATCCGATCTTTGATATGAACATCAGAAAGCCAGCATTCATCCGAGCCAGGGCCCGCGGCTGCCCAATGAAGGGGAAGACGCCCCTTACTATCGCGACAGGACAGTGATTCTGTGATATCCCTCCGGTGGTGATCAAGGAGCGTTTGAAGTGCCTCGGTATTCCAATACATGCTACTGATATGAAGTGAAGTAACATTCCAAGGCATTGGCATAGCAGACCAAAAGCTGGATGAGGGGTGATACTGGTACTGCTCCTTCGCGTGTATATTGGCCCCGTGGTCAATGAGTCGTTTGACTAACGCAGAACCGGCTCTAGAGGAAGCTAGACCAAGAACTGTACCAAAAGATTGTAGTGATTGGCTTTCATCATCATCGTCTTTGACTACAGAACCACCACAGAGTATCTGAGCCGCCCATTCACTGTTACTAGTGGGGAGTTCAACCGCCTGAGCAGACGCACCGCCATCGAGGAGCAAGTTTATTAATTCCTCGCCACGGGCGATTAGATCGCTCCTCCAGTGGTCGGGGTCAATCGATGTCTCAGATTTGCGAACTTCAGGAAAAAGATATTCAGGAGGAAGATCAGTCAGGGCTCTTGCAGCCGCCAGCAGCGCTTCATCGCGGTCCGACTGGTTGAAATCGACTGAACAGGGTGTAGGCTGCATGTCTAGGATAAATTGTGCTGTCTCAAGATGCAGATCGCTGCATGCCGCACTCAATAATGAGCATTTTCGTCGATGGAGAGGCTTTTTCGTTGAACTTGTCCTGTGGTAGTGATCCACGATGACCCCGAGAACATCGGTGCTCCCTGCCTCCGCGGCGACACATAGCGGGTCGTAGCAGAAACCTTCTTCACTATAAAGATTCTGGCAGTTGTAGACAGAGAGATATTGCTTCAGCCTGGGGACGTCTTGAGACGGATTATGCTGTCCAGAAGACCGCTGTCCCAGGTCTCGTAGAGTCGGGTGCCATCTGTGTCGTGGAGGGCGGTCTCTTCCGATTCTAGAACTTCGTCCGGCTGGGTATGAAAAGCGCTGTATTGCATGGAGATTTATATGAGCGCGAAGGGAGGTAAGAGGGACCGAAACCCCTTAGCTTAGGGACATGCCCCCACTACGAGGTATTTACCCCTTGCGGCGGTCTGCGGAACCAGTGCCGCGTTTACAATACCGTATTGTTATCTAGCTCTCATTAGTTAACTTGTGGAACACCACTGTATAACGTAATCCACGGTTGGGTCAATCACCCGAAACACCATAGTAAATGCGATATTTCACGACTTAACATTTCAACACCCAAGGTTTTTTATGAGGTCGTAGCATGTTGTAGTATTCAATATGTCACATTAAGAATGTTTATCGGATCTAGAAGTAGTTTGAGGCCTCACAATCTTGATATATATATGTATCACCCGATCGGTGCCTATTTTCGAGATCAGTAAAGCGTCTTTGATCTTGTCGACGTCTTGGTTTTGAAATTTAAGATTGGTAAGAGCAATTCTCTCTGGTTAGATTCGGCTGTCGTCCGGGGTGAACTTAATCTATTCCCGCAAGTGGTTGCTCTCGATAATGCGATTGCCGATTGCACGAGAAAACTCGGCACGGGTGTCACTATTCGCCGAATTATAGAGTTTCTTTCGCCGAGACTTAACTTTGTTCTGTAGCTTTTGCGATTCAACGGAGCGCTTATTACTAGACTTACGCGTAGCCTTTAACTAGCTATACTTTATAAAAAGATCCGTCCGCAGTCGCTAGCATTCTTTTTTCCACTCAATAAGCTTGGGGTTCGACCGTCGCTTTCTGCGCCGGTGTGGCCTGTTGTGGTGCTAAAGGGTCCCGCATGATGCTCGCGTGAGTGGCGAGGCTGAGTAGGCACTCCTTCATTCCTTCCACTCTTGTTCAATCTATGCCTCACCCTCATCACGAGAACCTGGGAGGAGGGATATACCGGGAGTGAGCACTCACTAGTCCGTAGGTGAGTTACTTCACGAGTAAAGAGGGGAAGCTCAAGGCAGTGCGTTCGGCACCGACAGGTTAAGGCATGAGAGAGAAGAGAGATGTATGGCAGCCAAAGAAAACCACCAACAGCGAAGCTTCCAGCGATGAAGATACTTCAGTGTAGCGACGATAGCAGGTGCAATAGGAATCTTAGAGTCACAAAATCCTCACCATGAATTTACACAGTCAATTGATGGTCGAATGGGTGGTATGTGCTCGGAAATGACTGAACTACTCTACATCGCCTGCTATTAATGTCATAATGACAAGCTTTCTGTTCTACCGCTTTGCTCTTCAGAGACTATCAGGACTGCTCTTGTCCCCAACGGCCCCATCTCTTCACAAACGCTTTCTATAGCCTTCAAGGCTCAACTGCAGTGTCGCTCTCCCTCGAACACCCCTTGGCACCACATCCTCGTCCGCTGCAACCCCTAAGAATGCCCCAGCGCATGCGCGAATTATCTTACCCCCCCCCTCCCGGCGTCGAATCTCTCTGTCTCAAGGGACATCTCGTTCAGAGCCTAGCTTCGCTCAGGCTGACGTCGAGAAGACCCAAAGATGGCTGGAATGATATTAAAGCTCGCGCGCATGAACGACTTGGTCACAAAGGAATCCGAAATGCTGAAAGACTGCTTAAGGGGGCTGCTTGACTGGCTTCCGCCAGGAGGAAGAGACTCCATCGCGCACGAAATTCTCGATGCAGAATCTGACGAGAAGCTCCTGGCTACCTATGAGAATATTCTTATTTGTCTACTCCAACCGAGTAATTCTATGCAATCTCAGCGTGAATATGTGACTGACCTCGCATAGTTAAAGCGTCTGGTGGAAAAACACCTACCCCCGTTGACTCACCGCATCAAAAAAGACGTGAGGATGCTCAAGCGGTGTATGAGGTGATTGAAGAACCGCAAGTTCGAGATATGAATTTCCGCAATGGCTGTCTCGAACGTGATAGATATCGTTGTGTGGTGACAAAAGCCATATCGTTCAACGAGGCGGAAGAAACGGAGTCGGCGGACGATGTTCTACAGGGGGATCTCGAAGCTGCGCATATCATTCCCTGGTCATTTGCAAGCTACGACCCCATGGTAATTTCACTAGAGCCTTCTTGTGGAAGACTACATACTAATTAGAGCAGAAAGGTGCAAGCGTCGTTTCGAACATGTGGGAAACCCTTTACCAATGTTTCCCTGAGATACGCGCAATTATGCGAAACTCCAGAATCAATGAGATCGAGACTGGCCTCACGCTTCACAATTCTATCCACCGCGCCTTCGGTCGCTTCCGATGTGCCTTCGAGCCGATCGTGCGTCTGTATTCTTTCCCTGGAAACCGAAAGGGTTCGTTTATGACTAATCATCTACTTAGGCCAACGCTCCGCATACGTACAACTTCGTCACCTTCAAGCGCTTCCCCACCGAGATGAAGCCATTCCTCCCCCATCAGGTCACTTTCGTAGATGCATCCCAGCCTGAGTCAGAGTCTTGTCTTCCACACCCGGTCTTGTTAGACTGTCACTATCGACTTGCGAAATTTTTCCACGCGAGTGGGATGGGTGTGGTTATTGACAAGACTCTTGACCATTTAAAGGAAATTAAGACTGGTTCATTCTTACCTCGTGATGGTACTAATGATCTGGGGTCTCTGCTTCGATACGGAAACTGGCAATCTGTCACAATCTAAGCTGCAAGCCGCAAGGTTTGGCTAGAAGCCATCGATCGGGGGCCCTGAAGCCCTGGATAGGGATAGACTCGGAGCTATACGAGGTTCTCTGAGAGGTGCAGAATAATCGTCGCCAATTCGTTTGAGCTTTGCCCGACTGCCACTCTTATTGCTTTTCCTTCGACACTGTTCTATGGAGAAATGAGTGACTTGAGAATGAGAACGGATGAGGTGCAGCTTCGATTGAGATAACCTAAAATAAGGACCGTCTCTGCGGACGCGCGCCGACAGTCCCACCGACTGTGCCTTATCTATTGCGGCCAGATACATCAGAAATTTGACCGCACCATAAGAGCCCCCGGCTTTATAGTTGCAATCGAAGGAGAGGTCACTCTGTCCAGAGCCCACAGATAAAGTCAATTTCTTGTCTGTACGGAATGAAGAATGTAACTAGCAAAGAGATTTTTGACCCGCCCCTGAATTCTCCCTTGTGTAGATCAACCGAATGTGACACTCGCTTCGCCTCAAACTCATGGATTTCATTCATCTTACCATACTCCATAGGAGACTTACAATAGAAATTGAGGGACCCTCTGCGCTTCGGCGGTCAGAAATGGTTCAATTGATGCTATATGCTTATCCGAGAGAGCGTAGCTGATTGAGTACCGATGAAAGAATACACTGAAAGCATCTCCATAAAATCAGCGCTCTCCCCATTCCCCGCCTTATTATCTCCCACTACTTCGTATCACTCGAATACCTTGATCTGAAGTGTGCGTACTCAGCAGCAGACTTTCCAGATAAGAGATGGAAAGCAAAGCCACTAGAGGGCATTTGCGATAGCGGTATAGGCATACTTGGGGTTGTAGTTGCTATCGAAGAGGAGAGGGCTGGAGCTGGAGCGCCACGAATCCTAACAGATAACTCATATTAGTATGCAGTCCAAATTTTTCGGGATGGAAATCGGCCTTTACCGGGTCAGCGACTCCCCAAACTGTGATTCCGACACACTTGGGCTGGTTAAGACAAGCGTTGACAACCTATGATGATAGAAATTAGCAAAAAAACGAGGTTTTAAGCCTATTATTATGAAACTCACGTTCACATAGTCGGTAGAGCTAGCGCCAGCAATATCAAGCTCAGTGACAGCAATTTCCTTGGTTCCTGCGCCGGCAAGTGCATTCAGAGCTGTGAGAGGCTATCAGCTAATGTTCGGTTGACAAAAAGTAAGGGGGGTACGTATCCAGCAATTGCAGCACCGCCACCGGCGCTCAAGTGTGTTTGAGAACCTTTGAAATAGTGAGTAACCATGTACTGTGAAATGTACCAATGCGTATCTTACCGATTCCGTCAATGGGAATACCAGCAGCAATCCACTTCTTGACGTGGCTGACCATGCCGTTCACCTTGGAATAAGAGGCGGAATCGAGGCTTTATGAAATCAGAATTCGAATCTTTCAAGAGCAGAGGGATATGACTCACTTATAGTCATTGATGTAGAGCTTTGCATTGGGGTCTGCGGCACGAGCCGTTTCGAAAGCGATGCGCACAAAGTCCTCGCCAAGAACATTGTAGAAGACGCTGCTACGCAGGGAACCATCCTCGTTGAAGATTTCATTCACCACATCCTTGAAGGAGTCAGTAAATGCGGCTTTGTAGAAGTTTATCATAGACAAAACTTACCCAGGCGTAGATCTTGCCCTTGTAGCGGTTCATGACCGTGGTAATGTGGTTCTTCAGGACATTGGTCAAAGTAGTTTTGTCCGAGATGGAAGAGACCCAAGTAGGGAGCTGGGAGTGCCACACTTAATACGAGTTTAGCTTCTCTTTTTGAGGTATGGTTGAATAGAATAGTAGAACTTCAAGAACTTACCGAGGGTATGGCCACGGATCAGCTTTCCATTTGACTGAGCAAAGTTGACCTAGAGTCTGTCAGAACTATGCAAAAAGCAAATGTTATGAGCTGAGTTCACGTACCAGATAGTCCGACCCGGTGAAGGAGAACTGCCCTTGGTTTGCTATTTTGCAAATTAGCTTCGACACTCTGCTTACCGCGAGGTAGCTATACTCACGCTCAGTAGCATCCCACTTCATGCTGTTTTCCGGAGTCAGCTGACCGAAGTCGGCCTTGATGATGGCCGGGGTCTTTGCGTTCTTGGTCAAGGTGTACTGATCACCAATGTTGCCGAAGTATTTCTTTCCATGAGCCTTGAATTTGGCATCAATGCTCACAGAGGCCTGGCGGGACTCAACAGGTCCGGAAAGCGCTTGACCAGCGAAAAGAATCGCCAGTGCAGCTACCTTCATTTGGATCATATTGGGAAACATGTTGCTTGTTCCTGCAAGTTGATGGAATATAATTGAGTGTGATAGAAGAAAAGACGCCGAATGGGAGAGATGAAGACAATATTTATACACGACAGGAGCCAGTATCACATAGAAAAGTGAAGTTCATAGTTCCAGGTGCTAGCTTGAACGGAAATCCTTCCCTGATGGGCAACGGATGTTGCATCATCTATCTCTTGCACTGATGGGGAACGGAGGTTACCTAATTCATCCAGGGTCCTAGTTAATAATTCGATGAATATGGTATAGAACTTTTCTTCAGCCTAAATCCCTGCACTGAAGATTTTAGGCTAGAAGCTATTAGGAGGAGGAACTTGATCTTTTGCATACTATCAAACCGCCAAGCTCCTCTCAGGTAGGCCCATTGCAAGTTCTAGCCCCGATATGAAACAATGATAGGACCCATAATTCCAGCCTTGTGTTCCAGGGAAGACCTGTGCGGTGAGTGGAAACGAAAAGAGGGTCCTCAATAGTGGAGACGACGATCACTTGCACGTTGAGGTTCGTCCAAATCAACTAGCTCCATTTCCGCCAAGCAGGGTCTGCCTCGGCTTCAAATATGCTAAACTACTTTTAAACTTCCCCCGCTAAATCCACCGAGGATGCTCCGAGCCGGATCATGTCTGACATGCTTTGAGGAGTTTTCGGCAAAGCACTTGCCGGACCCTGAAGAAGATGACGGCCTGGTCCAGAGTGTTTTGGGACTAGTAAGTTTTATAGTGAAACAGCTCTATCTTCACAACGCATCAGTGACAAACAACCAGTTCAGCGTCGCTCTCAATACAGAACTACGTCTAGGCTCATCATTTCTACGATGAGTTCAAAGAGCCTGGAAAGGCAACTCCCACAACTCCGTTCTTTTTTTACAAGATGAGACTATAGTCAACAATAGGGCTAATCTGGTTGCATTGATGTGGGGTACATCTCGGCATGTGTTTCCAGAAAGGTAATAATCCGGCGGACGATCGTTTCTGGCTAATGTTGTTTACCCGCCAGCACTCCTTGACCATCCCCGCGAGTAGGCAGCAAATCAAAAAGCATGCCAAGCATCGCTTCCTACGAATTGAAACATGGCGAGTTTTAGTTGCGTAGAGAAGGAGATCAGTCCAATTCATTTTTGCCGGCCCAATCATTCAATTTATGAGCTCGACGGGGGGTATTTAAACAGAACCGGTCCATGCCAAGGTGCTCCTGTTTTCTGCTTCAAGTCTTTAATCATTCAAACCGTCTCTGACAAGAATCTGACAGACAATGAAGTTCTTCGAGAAGAAGGCTGGCCTCCTGCCATTTGGCACATTCTTGCTCGCATCACTGCCAGTTGTCGTCGCCGACTGCGCTCTTCCATCGACTTATAGCTGGACATCAACTAACGCTCTCGCGAGTCCGAAGTCCGGATGGACGGCCCTCAAAGACTTCACCAATGTGGTCTACAACAATCAACATATCGTCTATGCATCAACCACAGACACCAGCGGGAACTATGGCTCGATGAACTTCGGCACCTTCTCGGATTGGTCCGGTATGGCATCTGCGAGCCAAAACACAATGAGCTTCTCGGCCGTTGCGCCCACTTTGTTCTATTTCCAGCCAAAGAGCGTCTGGGTCCTTGCCTATCAATGGGGCTCGAGCACTTTTACCTACCGCACTTCCAGTGACCCTACCAATGCCAATGGATGGTCATCGGAGAAAGCTCTCTTTTCCGGAACAATCACCGGCTCGAGCACTGGTGCTATTGATCAGACTCTCATCGGTGACGCATCGAATATGTACCTTTTCTTTGCCGGAGACAATGGCAAGATCTACCGCTCCAGCATGTCTATCAACAATTTCCCCTGGAAACTTCGGAACAGCGTCAGAGGTGATCCTGAGTGACTCCCAATACAACCTGTTCGAGGCAGTCCAAGTGTACACTGTTAAAGGCCAAAACAAGTACCTGATGATCGTCGAGGCAATCGGATCACAGGGACGTTACTTCCGTTCCTTCACTGCTACCAGCCTCGGCGGTTCCTGGACACCGCAGGCAACAAGCGAGAGCCAGCCCTTTGCTGGCAAAGCCAACAGCGGTGCTACCTGGACTAATGACATCAGTCATGGTGATCTGGTTCGCACTAACCCTGACCAGACAATGACCATTGATCCGTGCAACCTGCAATTCCTCTATCAGGGACGGAACCCGAGCTCTTCTGGCAACTACAATACTCTGCCATGGCGGCCGGCTGTGCTCACTCTGAAGAACTAGGAGCATGCGTGTCGAGCCTGGGGGGATTTGGGACTGTCATGACGAGATTTTGAGAGTTCTGAGATGAGAGATATGATGAACAGGAGGAGATTGAGGAACATGTGTTTGAAGTTCCCAGAGCAATTTGAAACCCGTTTATTCTTAGTTCGTGCGTCGGACCCGTCCAAACAGAGCATACCTCTCGCGTAGAAAGGAGACCAGCGACATTGATGCTTCTTGTGTTTTTTAAATTCACGGTAGGCTTCGGGAAGTGTGTCGGCTATCAGTTTACCCTCGAATGAACTCGTATTGAGGCGAGGACTTTATATAGTAAGTGAGCCTCCAATACACACGGAAAGAGGAATGGTAGAGGGGATTGGAATGAAAGCGAAGGCAGAAGATTAGTCGCATGCGTCTTCACTAATTAAAAAACTTGTTGGCTCTTTTTTGAACCGCGCGACAGCTCACAAAGGCGCAATCCAAGGCATGGTCTATTACCGTAGAAGCATACAGTTCCAGTGGGTTACATTGATAATTAAATCTAGTAGCTATGCTGAATTATCTCAAACCGCAATAACTTTGGTACTTCCAACGAAACAGTCCGAATTTTCTGTATTTTGATGTCCACGAAGATTGTGAATGTGGCTGACTTATTTCAAGTTAGCTGAGTGTAGATTTCAAAAGGCCGAAGTTTTTCTGCGGAAACAGGTGGCTAATAATCTGAAACTCTAGTGCAGCTGTGAGAGTCAGTGCGCGAGTCTTGCAACGGGGGCTGAGTCATCGTGTCTGTTGTGCACTTCACCGTATCCCCCGTCGTGCAATGCAAAAGCAGCTCTAATCCCTTCTCACAGGGGCGAGTCCCACCCTGGTCTACTAATAGACGCTCAAATCGCCGAGATCCCCCGTCCCCCGTGTCGGAAGCTGTCCAACCCTACGCTGGATTTTCTGGCCCTCTGGGGGAAGGCCTTTGGCTGCGTCTCTGCTGTGACGGAAATAAAGGAGAACAGCATAAGGCTCTGTGGGCGGAAACCATCGCCTCTGATTTTATTGATTCGGGTGGCATTCTCTTCGATCATAAAGAGATCTTACGTGGGAGATATCTAGCTTCTGCGTGAGAGATATTCCCTGAGCGTATTCCAAATGAGGACCCAGGAAGGTATCTTGAGGGTCGGTATAGTGCTTTGGGGAAGGCGAGGGAACTCTGGCTGGTGGTGATGTGGAAGATTAAGACAAGTGGGAATAACTTGTGAGACGGCACTGCGAGTGCCGTGCCTGTCGTGCAGTATTCCATGTTTTCTTAGATGGTTGTGGTAGTGAGGTGAGGCAATCACGAACGGAGAGTAAATAATGATATGGCATGAAAACCAGAGATGCTGAAGGGGAGTGCAATTGTGGAATAGAGTATGCTTTATAATAGCATTCTATCATCCAAATCTACCTTCCACCTACACCTACCATCTTCTATCTGCTAAGGTAGCGCAAACTATAATCTCTCACTTATCCTCACGTAACGCACAGGGCAATTTGATACCCATTCAGTACTACTAACACAAGGAAAGTTACGAATTTAGCCCCAGAGCACATAGGGGAACGAACGACTGACGCAGCTTTACCAAGGGGCCTTTGTGATGCATTTCGTAAAATTACGGTACTGATGTAAGCACAAAATTCCTGTCATGTAGTTGTGTATTTTATCTAACCCAAAATTTGTGACCAAGTCGCCAAGTATAAAAACATACCTACCTGTATCCAGTCGTGGCACACTTGTGATTTCAGACGAAATGGCTTTCCTCTTCGTTGTCCGGTCTGCGAGGGTGAGAGCTTCGCCGTGTCCTATCTCACTATTCGTTACTGATGTAGCTATTTATAATCAGGGTTACTTGTTATCCAGTGAAAGAAAGGGCAAGTTTTGCCAACAGGGTCTTGATGAAGCTCAGCTGTGGGTTCAGGGCGCGGGTCTTTTTGACCAAAATCAGAAGCCGATTTTTCAATAATACCTCATTGACAAGCAAAATGGCGCTTTGGAGAGTGCTGCGACAGTACGATGTACCTAGTAATTTATGGTGAAATGACGAGAGGTCCTTTGACGGCATATTGGAGCACCGGACCCCAGGGTAAATTTAAAAAAGGGAAAATTCTATGTCCTATCTTTACAGATCCAATATATCCAGAATGCATAAATGCATCTAAAGCTTCGCTCGGAACGCACTTCGTAATGACTCCAGGCCTGAAGGCCCATCGTAAATTTGTTGCTCGACCATGCGAGTGTTGATCTGCAGAAGTCAGATTTAAGTCAAGGAATGCAGGATGCAGTGAGCTTACATGTTGCGGGCCCAGCTTATCAACCGTCTCCACACCTAGTAGACGCATGGCAGTCTTGCTCTCGTCGGCGAGAACTGTTTTGAAATGTCAGCGTGGTTCATATGAAGGTTTCGAAATGGAACATACTCTGCAATGTCCGGCGGACACCATCTACACCACCGGCAGCAAGCCCCCAGAGAGCGCCTCGGCCAATGCCTACAGCCTTGGCGCCTAAACAGAGAGCTTTGACGACATCTGTACCGCGTCTGATACCGCCATCCACATAGACCTCGAGCTTATCGAATACCTCGGGACAGTATTTCCGAATCTCTAGCAGAGTGTGCACGGCCGGTGGTGCGGTGTCTGAGGCGCGACCACCGTGGTTTGAAAGAATGATACCCTTCACTTGCGGTGTGTGGAGGGAGGCGAGATATGCATCTTCGTGAGTTTGCAGGCCCTTCAGAACGATTGGAAGATCCGTCTGTCTAGCCAGCCAAGGCAGAGTTTCCTGCCATGTCAAGGAGGGATCCGTGCCGGCAAAGAGCTGCTGGCCAACACCACCTGATCCCCCAGAAACATCAGGTGTATCATCTGAGGTACGCTCGGCGGCCTTTACACCACTAGGCACAGATGTCGCAGCCCCCGCGATACTATTGCGCTCGTCGTCTTCACGCTTTCCTGGAACCGGAGCATCCAAAGTGAGAACAATGAACTTGATGCTCTTCAGCTTATTGATACGTGCAAGCATCGCCTCGCTCTTCCTTTTATCAATTTGAACATAGAGCTGCCATCCAAAGACCTGATCAGGAGATGCATCCTTGACGATCTGTTCTGGCGTCATTGAAGCATTGTTGGAAATGATCTGCATTGCACCAAAGCTACGGCATGCCTCTGCAATACCGGCCTCACCAGACGGGTGTCCAAGACGAGCCATAGCAGCAGGAGAGACATAGATGGGCATACCCAACTTATGTCCCAAAACTGATGTGTCCAAGTCGCATTTTGTGCAATCCACAAATACTCTAGGTCGCAACAGAATAGACTTGTACACCTCGTTATTAAAGCGTTTAGAAACCATATCGTCAGCTGCCGAGTAATAGTATGCCCATGCTTTCTGGCTAATTTGCTTCGTGGCCACTTCCTCGATTTCGTCCAAGTTGAGAAGGGTCTCCATAGGAGGCGGCCCCTGCGCAGATTCTTGGGGCTTGGCAGAGGCATCTTCCTTTGGTAATGTGCTCGCGTCCACGGTTCCCAGGCAGCATTCGGGTTTAAGTTCCCCCTCGAGAGTACCGGGAGGGTGGATAGGGTCGTACTCTTCAGTGGCATCTTTGCCCGATAGTTTCAAGATGATTTTCGCACCACCAGGGTGCTCGGATAGAAAATCGGTTACCTAGAATTTCTTGGTCAGTCCCTACTGCGCTCAAGATATATATCTAAAGCGGGCAGATCTCACATCGTAGACCTTCCCGTATAGAATCACCCAGCAGCTCTCGCGGGTGTTGTGTTTTGCGACTGTAGTGAAGTTAGACTTGAGCCGATTGCGAACGCAGCGGGGGCCTGCTGAGTACCTACCTTCTGCTGCATCGAATACCTTGGCCATTGTGAGCGGTGATAAGGGTAAGAGAGCATATATCAATCAATTGCAGAAGAGAAAAGGAGAAATTGAGACGTCGGAGACAAAAGCGCGCTGGACGGAGAAGGCGCCGTCATGGAGTGTGGGGAAGACGGCGACTGAATGCCATGTTGGGCAAATTCGATAGCCGACCGTCTGGAGCATTGGAAACACGCTCACGTCATTGGTGGGGAAATTGAGCGGTGTTTTTACACGATTCGAGTTCCTGATCGTTGTCCATGCTCTCCAAATGGACTGAAAAGATCAAAAATCATCCCAAATGGATCTTTTAGAGTGACTCTCTCAGTCATCGAAATGATGAACACACGAAGCCGAAAACAGTTTATGCGTATATTGCGGCCACGTGAAAGCCGGTCACGCGCTCCGAGCTGAACTGACATCAAAGTGCAACTCGATCTCCAACTTTGACTCATACAAAATCCCCGGAGCACCATGTTTGAGGTATGCCCAGTCTTTACTTACGCTTGAGCAGTCTGCTCCTACGACTTGTCCAGCCTTCACTAACTGATCTAGCGACGCGCGGCTGATCGCTATCATCTGCGGATGCACCGAGCCCGCTCGGCAGTGTTGACTACAGAGGAAATTGTTGAAGTCCGCGCTGCCCAGAGAACCTTTGAAGGCGCTTACGTTCGAACCGCCCTCTCTCAATTCTCCTTCGCCCTCGTCGTACTTAAGATTTTCACCGCCGAATTCTACAGTATCGGAGCTCTATTCGCCATCTACGGCACCGGGGTTCTCATAATCGGCCTGTTCCGCCGCTCACAAGGAAATCGACAGTTCTTTTCAGAGCTCGGAGAGGATGGTATCCATCGGCATAAGTTCCGCACGAGTGGAAATGCGGTGGTGGTTCTGACTGCGTTGAGTATCGCAGCATACGCGTGCTTAATTGGTCTGACTCTGAACCTGGGGTCATGATAAGCGGGGGATGCGACCGTCCTCTCCTCGTATTTGCAGTCATTTCTCCCGTGCGACCCCCTGCGTTACCGCCAAGTGCCAAGGATTCTGCACCATAACACTGGATTGATAATCATATCGCCCTGGCGGCGGGCGGCAGCGGAGGATCACCGTGATCCCGCTAGGGCCTGCTGTTGGTCGAAATCCGAACTGCTACCCTGAGAACCGAGACCCGCCAAGGATACCGAGGGCGTCTCGCGGACAGGGAGGCTGGCCCGAGCGATGAGGCGTATGTTGCACAAGACATCCTAATTATCATTTGTGCCTCCACCGAACGCGTCCGGATTTGAATCGGTTGATGGGCGAAGATCCTTGGTTCTCACAACTCATGTGGACGACTGGATTTGGCAGATAGCAGCCACCGCTGAACGCTCGTGTGCGCGGAATTGTAGTCGGGGTTTCAGCGAGCATCACAAAACTTGCGATGTACACAGGGATGAAGCTAACTGATCCACTGTGCCGGTTCAGCCTGGGATATGTGTTGAGCCAAGCATTCTGGGCTGGAGATAAAGACAGTATGCAATAGATTCGCCAGACCTTCCTTGCACCTCCTTCCCGGACCTGTATATAGAGCTCTAATCCATCTACTCGTTTTCCAAGATCTACTTGCATAAACTAGTTCATATTGACATCATATGGAAATATCAACGCCATTGTGATCCACCAAGTGGACTCGTCGGCCAACAGAACACCTGTGACTCCATTCACTCGGTTTTTTCCTGAGAGAGCTCCTTTATCTTCTCTGTTCTTTCACCCTCACTTGGTTCGATAGCTGGCTACCTATCAATTCAGCACGGTGCACGTTCCGGTTTCTGGTACCTTGTTTGGGAAGGATTCGCCTCAATACGCGGGGGCCTGTCTGACCACCCCCAAGGCCCTTGATCACGACCGACCAGCGCACACCACCACAGATAGCGCGCGAAACATCAATCCCGAGCATCCCGATTCGACAAAACTCCTGCGTGGTGTGTCTACACTGCTGAACGTGGTGAGCCACGGCGTCCGCAGTGACGTTTTTTTCGGAGTTGAGTCATCCGTCCCGCTCGCTTTTCCCAAGTGGCCCCTCCCACTTTTGAACCCTTGAGAATCCTGACGGCCAGCTCAAGTCCCATCCCTCAAGGATCTCTAAAAGCAATCGCTATTATCACAGCCAGCTACGTCCCTCCCTACTGGGGATGGCGCAGCATTCCAGCATCGCTCGGTCGGCGATGACGTCGAACACGCCAGATCCTGCAGCTCTGGGTGATCAGAGGAATATGAATCGGTCCAGCGGCGTGAATTCAAAAGAAACTAGCCCCGGACCGGCCAAGGATGGAGCTCTGATGCATCCTTCAAAGACCGTGGTCGGACGAGCGCTAGGTAATGACTTGCATTCCGATGTCCACAAAACATCGCAGGCGCCCAAGGGCGGAGTCGGAACCGCCCTGACTGACACTCCGATTTCTACCGCACCCCCGTCTCCACAGATGTAAGTCCCTGCCTCTGAGTCGTCACTTACCCAGTGCCTGGAACTTTGCCACGTTCTTCTTCTTCCCCGAACCTATAAGTGTGTGATGGGCTCCGGGTCATGTCTGTCCCGCGTGGTGTGGGCGCTGAATTGGGCGAAGAAGACGTCTCCTGTATGGCGCATCTTGGACCCTCATGCTTCCCCATATGCGGCTGAGCCCCGTAACCCGTCCCGTGATTGCGCCTTGTTTACTCTCTCTTGCATTAAGCTTCTTTTGTCTAACCTTTTTGGTTCTCTACAGAACTGGGTCCTCTGGGACCCCTAGCCGTATTCGGGCAACAACTCTTGATATTCCCGGCCTGACCAAGTCCAAGGTATCTCCAGATGGCCGTATTGCCCAGCGTGATGTCGGTGCAAAGCTCGTCATCATCATGGTCGGCCTGCCGGCTCGTGGCAAGAGTTACATCACCAAGAAGCTGGCTCGCTACCTGAATTGGCTTCAGCACGATACTGAAATCTTCAACGTTGGCGAGCGTCGTCGTGTGGCAGCAGGCAGGTCACCCTCTCCAGCCAAGTTCGATCTTGGCCATGACAAGAGTCCGAAGAACGTTCACAAGGACCTTGTTGACTCGGTGCGCCGCTTGAGCGTCAGTGTCGGTAATAGCAGGAGCAAGAAAGACTCACCGCCGGAGGAGACAGATGACATTCATCTTCCACCTCCAGTTGTTCCTGCTAAGATTCTCGTCAATGGTCAAGATCCCGAGAACCAAGTTTCGACGAATGGAAGCACCGTGGTGCCATCTATCGACGCAGGCCCCGGTCAGTCCCAGCACGAAGATTCTATCAAGGAAGCTTCTCCAGAGCCCATGGACCAGACTGCCAATTTCTTTGATCCTCAGAACCAGCGTGCTGTCAAAATTCGAGAGCAAGTTGCTTTGGACACCCTCGACGAGTTGCTCGAGTACATCCTAGAGCGAGGTGGCAGTGTTGGTATTCTCGATGCTACCAACAGCACCATGGAACGTCGCAAGGCGATCGTGGATCACATCCGCAAGCGTGCCGGGACCGAGCTGGGTGTTCTCTTTCTGGAAAGTAGCTGTGTGGACCAGGACTTACTGGAGGCGAACATGCGTCTGAAGCTTTCCGGTCCTGACTACAAGGGTCAAGACCCAGAGACCGCTCTTGCGGACTTCAAGAAGCGTGTCGCTCTTTACGAAAATTCGTACGTTCCCTTGGGTGAGTACGAAGAGAAGCACAACATGCCCTTTATCCAAATGATCGATGTCGGTCGCAAGATGGTTTCCCATCAGACACACGGTTTCCTCTCTTCCCAGGTTGTTTATTATCTCCTCAACTTCAACCTGTCGCCGCGCCAAATTTGGATCACTCGCCACGGCGAAAGCCTGGACGACCAGGCTGGCCGTATCGGCGGAGACTCGGATCTCAGTGAAAATGGCAGGCGTTATGCAAAGGCTCTGACTCGCTTCATCGACCATCAGCGACAGCAATGGGAGTTGTATCAGCGTCAGAAAGACCTGCTCAGGAACTTCCCGCCTCGACCTGGTGACAGTACCCCTCCCAACCCGTCGTACATTCCTCGTGACCGGCCGCGTAACTTCTGCGTGTGGTCTTCCATGATGAAACGATCCATCCAAACCGTCGAGAACTTCAACGAGGATGACTATGACATCAAACAGATGCGCATGCTTGATGAGCTCCACTCGGGGATGATGGAAGGTATGACCTACAAGGAGATTCAGGAGCAGTACCCCGAGGAGTATGCCCATCGCAAGAAGAACAAGCTGTTTTACCGGTACCCTGGTCCTGGTGGGGAAGGCTATCTCGACATCATTAACCGCCTTCGAGCCGTCATCGTCGAGGTCGAGCGTACCACCGATCATGTTCTCCTGGTTAGCCACCGGTCAACTGCCCGAGTTCTGCTCTCCTACTTCCGTGGTCTCAAGCGGGACGAGGTCGCCCAACTCGACGTTCCCATGGGAATGCTATATATGCTTGAGCCCAAACCCTACGGTGTCGACTTCAAGGCCTACCGCTACAACCCGGAGACCGATTGGTTCGACTACCTCCCCATTACGAGCTGCACCAGGTGGGCGCAGCCGACAATGCCAAATGAGGTGACCATCCTCCATCTTCCAAAGCGATTTAACTCGCTTTATGACTTGCTATGAACTGTGACGACTTTTCCGCAATTTCAGAATGACTGGGGCTCCTCATCGTGTATATCAATCGCTGCACATGATAGTCTCTCCTTATCGATTCATTCTGTCGGGGTTTCCTGTGGCACTGAGAATTTCCACCCCGATCCGCTAGCCGTGTATTATCCTGATCAACCTCTTGTCAATCCTCTGATTGTACCTCCTGATTGTATCTCTTGCTTGTTTCTCTTTCTTTTCCTGATCGTGGCAATTCTGCACCGCGATGCATGACGGGAGTTTTTTCTATCCTCTGTATTTCATTTCGTCGCCTCATGATTCTGTCTCGTATGGCATTGGCGTTGGGAAGTATTGATCCATCCGCGCCATATGGCTCAGACGATTTCCAGACACCGATACACTTGAACATTGATAGACATGACCTGAGACTTTACTTTGAATTGCTGATGTTTGCCATTCACGATGAAGAGGTTAGCAATGCACACAATGACCATTGCCGTCATTCAAGTAGGAGCAGAAATAGTAATAAAAATAGATCCTGGACATAAGTTCTCCACATCAGTACCAAATCGAGTATAGACAAGAAACAAGTAGATCATAATTAATTACACGCCTCGGAAATCTCACTCGTCCTCCTTAATCATCTCAAAGATCTCCAAGAATGTCTCCGGCTCATCAGCTCCCTCCACGCAATACTTGCCCTGCACCTCGAAATAAGGAACCCCACTGACCAATCTCCTCGACGCCATCTTCGCCTCCCCATCAACCTCCGCCCCTCCATCCTCCGAGTCAAGCAAACCCTTGACAGCCTCTCTCGCCAAGCCAGCCTCGACTCCCGCCTCTTCCAAGACCCTCACATCCGTGATATTCTTCTCATCCTCAAAGTACGCCTTGAACAACTTCTCTGCCACCCGCGTCTGGATCCCCCCCAATCTGCGCTCCAGTCTTTCCCTTGCCATTGGTTCCGGCTTCGGCTTCCTTCTCGCCCGCATACCAAAGAAGTCGGTGTGAGTCTCGAGTCGACCCTGTATTCCCACCAAACTTGAAACTGATCCCCTCGCCTTCCCCGACGGCTGACAGCCGTTTGAACATGGCGGCTGAGCGCTCGGGTCCGAATTTCAAACTGTACATCTCTTGTTTGTTGACGCCTGGGAATTGTGGCGAGGCTGGGTTGAGGTAAAATGCCTTCCAGGTTAGGGTGAATGTGTCGCTTGGATGGTTGCTTTGGTGTGCGACGATTGCGCGCGAGAGACGGCGGTAGCCGACATAGCACCACTATTTTACTTTGGATTAGTTGGCGGGACGTGCCTGGGGTGGTCCAGGGAATTGCTTACCGGGCACACAGTGTCGGAAATGATCTGTATATTGAAGTTGGTCATTTTGGTGGGGTGGTGAGGGGAAGAGAGGGGGATGCCGAGGCCTGCGAGTGTACTTTTTGTACTTCAACTGACGATTGCGAGTAAATGGTCAATTTGTCAGCAGGTTGGATCCACTACCAAAGGATGGAGTGTCCTGTTTGGTTCGTTCCATTGCGTCTATGGGTACATTTGCTAATCAATTAAGCATAATTATAGATTGGGATTCTTCTTGTGCATGAGTTATGCTTTCATTATGCTGAGTCTGTTGATTCACGCTATGTCTTCTACCACCATCGTGGGATACTAATGGATTTCCCCGCGGTGCTCACAAATTTTTTGCAAGGAATCGAGAAAAGGAATCAAGGGTCCTCTTTATAGTGAACGGACTGCTTCGGCTATCAAATTGTCTGATTGCTACTGGGTAAAGCGGATCGAACATAGCGATTTCCCCTGCACCGATCGTAAAGATGTATCCAGCAGATGTCGCATGCCCTAGCGCTTACCAAAATGCACATTCTTCACATTTGAGGGCTATACAATGCCTTCCCCACACATACATGGCGAAGTTATGGAATACAGAGCCCATCTTTGTCTCCTGCTCTGGAGAGCATTGGATCCAGATACTCATGCCTTTGTCAGGAATGACAAGAGCGACAACCATGAACTCCAAAGCCGTCAATGAACACTATGGTCGCAGCGACCTCTTATATCTTAAGATTCATCCACCGAAGATTCTGGCTCTACTCTCAACGAAACCTTCAAGCCTCCATGTGGAGCGTATCGAGCAGGCTTCTCACAATAAGTTGGAGGTTATCTTCAAAGCTCTCGACCTCAAACCGGGGATGACGGTGCTTGATCTTGGTGGTGGATGGGGTGGCGTAACGCAGTATTGTGGTGCGAGAGGTGTGCACGTTACGACCTTGACACTGACAACTGACTCAGCGCGCTTTACTTGAAAAGTAATCACTGATAGTCACCTGCCGGGTCAAGAATTCTTGTGGGCCTTCCTTGACCATAAGCCTGAGGAGCTGTGTGATCATGTTATGGCGGAGTTTTTGTCTCATGGCTTTGAAATTGTGGGGGTGGCTTGAGAGACCAAAGACTATAAGTTGACTATGCTGGAATGGGCTAAGCGATTTGATCAGCTCAAGGATGATGTTATCGCAGGTTTGGGTGAAGAGACGTTTCGCGTCTTTCGCGTCTTCTTATGGGGTGGTTCTCATGCTTGCCGTTCTACTTCTCTGCAGGCGTATCACATTATTGCGGAGAAGACGACTTCGATGGGACCCCGGCCGTCGACTTCTAGGAGCGTTGTTCAGTTCTTAGCAAACATGCGCTAAATCATATCATTTAGGATCAGGCTTTGATTCATCTGAGACAGATCTTTTCTCTGACTTTTTCCATCAACGGAAAGTCTGCGGCATTCAACGTGTTTCTGAGGCTTTGACGAGATGAGGGGGCTTCTGGGCACTCTTAGCTGAGAGGAATTGCCCTTTCGGGATCAGCCCCGGAGGTTCAAGTTTTGCCCGATCTGTAAGGGCCCATACTTTGGAGCCAATCCGCCGACATCCGTCCCTGCGCGATCCCTGATCGAGTTAGGCGCCTGTCCCTGTCTGAGCCGAACTATTGTTATCCGCCAGTCAGAGTCCCGAAGTAGAGAAAAACTAGTTGCCAGTCCGAACTTTCAGGGTCTTGGCTTATTTCCGCGAACCCCAAGCGTCCAGATTTCTTTGATTTAGGGGCATTTCTGCTCTTCTGTTGGCGTGTTTTCTTTCCCCGCCTGTCGATTCCACCACGCTCTTTTGCTTCAACTTGCTATTTTCGCAATTTTTGAATTGATCATACTTTGAATCGCTCAAGATGCGTGTCCAATCTCTCACTCTGCTGGCGGGCGCGGCTATCGCCGCCGCCGACAGCACCGTCTCTCTTTTCTTGCCCGGATTCGATACGCAGCCTCTTGACGCGAAAGTGCTCGGCTCGGTACGAAATTCTTTTTCCTCCTGGTAGTGAAGGTATAAAAAATACTAAGTGATTCTCTTCAGAGTGGCGCCATGACCACCTATAGTCTCAATTGCCCTAGTGGAGAGGACTCCGATCTCTGCGGAGTTCCCCCGGGTTTTATCGTCACGCAAGGAGCCTCGTCGGTGCAATTTGACTACGGCTATGATACCGAGTGAGTATTTCCCCCGTTCACGACCTATCATCATCATCATTGACACTTCTGCAGGTCCGTCACTGAGAATTGCAAGTTCCAGGGTACTACACGCGCCACTTGCTGGGCCAATATTGTCAGTGATGGCAGTTCGTCGTCGCTGAGCACCGCTTTTGATGTCACCTCTATTCCCTATGGTGGCTTCATGCCTGTCCATGTCACTGCTACCGAGACTGGCGGAGCTGCGGCTTCAACTGGTGCTTCGGTTACTGCTACTACTGCTACGGCCACGGCCACTGGTACTTCCACTGGTACTTCTACTGGATCTACTGGCACTTCTACTGGCACTTCTACTGGATCTGCTGCCACTCTGACCGGTACTTCCTCTGAGAGCAGCACCGCTACTGCTGCTTCCAGCAAGACTGAGTCTACGAACGCTGCTATGCCCAAGATGACTGGTAACGCTCGCTGGGTGGCTGGCGGTGCGGCTGCTGCTCTGGCTCTGGTTGTTGTTTAATGGAGACCTGAGTCAAATGTAGCGATATGTCTTATTTCTACAGCACGGTACGATAAGCAAATGTATGAATACGAAATTATCATATGACATTGGGAATGTCTGATTCTTGATCCTGACATGCTCCCGATAACTTGCACCACTCTCGACCCTTTTCTCTTTACCTTTTCAATACCTGTAGATCATCTCAGCATCTGCGTATCGTCCCTCCACTTTCACAAGTTCACGTTCTCCGTTCCCTCACCTCCTATCACGTGAGCCCTCCGCTTCCACTCAACCTATGCGGCGGGTCCGTGGAGGTTTGAGGGAACCTTTGGATATAACTTTGATGTACGAAATGATAGAACTTACTGATCATACCTTAGCTGCCGGGCCTTTTGATCAATGTGCCGATCTCTGGTCTTGAGAAATATAACATAATAGTCATATACTTCGCAGGATGATCGCTCAAGGTAACAGTCATCATCTCGTTGATGCATGTTTGCCCGACTCTCAGGCTGACAGTGTCACCCTCCCAATTTCCACCTGTGGTTATCCTGTTTCGCAAGAGACTTCCCCTTAATTCCACCAGTATCTGCTGTATTAAATTCCTATGGCTTTTGCAGTGAAAAAGTTCAGTCATTCTCGGAAACATAGTAGTTCCAAGTGATTAATTAATTCGAAGCATCGACCTATACATGAAGCTGAGCAGCAGAAGTGTTCAAGTCACCATGCATGTGTACCTTCTCGTCCCTAACACGCACCTTGCCCCCAAGACAACGACCTGGATGGAAAATACCCAGCAAAAGGATCACGAGCGCGATAGGCGCGAACTCAAGACACGCAAAAAATATCTCATTGGTCGACAACTTCCCACCTAGACCCTCGGCCGTCTCTGCGAGACGGAAGATAGTTCTCAAATAGACCATGATGGTCGCGACAGAGAACGCCAAGCAGAAGAGTCGATAGCCGTGCTCCTTGATGGCACGTCGAGCTCGAAACTGGAATGTGGCCATCAAGATGACAAAAATACTCATTGCAAAGACCTGATAAGCTAGACCTGCCAGCAGAATGTGGTTCGCTGTTGTCGGGTCCTCTCGGCGAGACTCTTTGACGCCGACCAGGCAGGCGCCTGCGATCTGGACGATCGTGGAGACCGCATCTGAAGTAATAAAGAATCCCAAGATGACCTTTGGCTTAAGGAAAGAGTATCGGTTCCCTAGTCGGGAGATCAGCGCCGAAAGAATCGTGTAGATACCCGCAGCGAGGAAGACAGGGGCAGTGACGATGAAGAAATATTGCAGGACAAAGTAAATCAGGTTGTATGGGTCCCTTTCGGCTGATAGAGATCGCGCAATGTATCCAATGATCTCGAAGATTAAGCCAGTCGAGAATGTCATCCACCACCAGCTGCGACTTGTAAGAGTTTGCGCGGTATGTCCGATCAGATGAATGAAGAACCATGCTGCAGCAAAGGCCGCCAGCCCGATGGAGGGCGTGTAGCCATAGATTATGATGCTGGTGTCATTTTGTCCATTGGGATTGGGGAAGTCAGGGTCAATATAACCGAAGGAACGGCCTTTTAAATTGAGTACAATTAGCATCGCTTCATTTTCAATGAATGCTTCATTGTAGGACAAGCTGGCATACCGACGATGTTGAGCGTACTCATCTGATAACACGCGACATGCACGGTGTATATTTTAATGCAGCGAGATGTCAAAGTCGCACTTGTGTAGTGATAGATTATTGCACCCCTTCCTAACCACTGTCCACCCCGGGAAATGGTATCGTTTATTATGGTCGCTCAAGGCACAAGCCAAGAAGCATTAGTGGATTTCTCTCGTAGGTGGCGTTGGCAGAAGGTCTAACCGAGGTGCGCCCGAAGGTTCGATCGATCCTCGATCACCAATTGCAGGTCGGGGATGTGGTTCTGACTGACTGCTCAAGAAATTCCCACGCGTACACCACGTAGGCCAGAACCGAAGTCTCGATTCAAAGGTGTCCGCATGAAGCACAATTGGAGACCAATCGTCGCTTATGCTTCAATGATGTGCTAAGACTCGCGTGAGAATTGATTCATTCGAATAAGTATAAGACTGGATACAAGTCCACCGATTTTCTGATTTACTGCAATAGAAAACTGGTGGGGTTCATAGTTGAGATGCTGAAATGCTACAGAATGCGGGGACAAGGTTCAAACAGAGTTCCTCCTCGTGTTTGGACATGGAACGCTGTCGCAACAACGAATTACGGACCAGGTATCTGGCCAGATCTGTTGTGTTACGGTCCAGGTTGGATAACTCAGCCAGGGCGGTGGGAAAATAGGGGTTTGTATCTATATAGACTTAGCTAGGACTTAGTATTATTACTAATCTTATAAGTTATTTTTTATAACCTTACGGTCTAGGTGTCTTTACCGTACAAGTCATACATCTTGAGTTGTTTTGTACCAGTGTGTGGAAGTTTGTTTTAACGCCAGGATCATCCAGCCGAACAAGAAATGGCCGACTGCCACGATGCCGGCTTCCACTTTTGGAGACACCCCCCCCCCCCAAAAAAAGGGTCAGCGGTATTCTAGGAGCTAGTCTCAAACATCGAGTCTTCGTATAAAGCCTTGGAGTCAGAGGGGTCAGGTTACAGTGCGCGAATCAGGGAACGCGAAATTAATGCGCCCCTTAGCCTATTTAGAACCCGGGCACCTACTGCGTCGAAAGACTGCACGATATAGATAGTATACTATGCATGTTCAAGGGCGGTAGTAATGATTGTCAGGGACCCTTGGAAATCAAATGAGAAATATCACACTAAATGGCACTATGACTCCGTAAATCCGTTGATGGAAAATATTCATAATTACATACACCTTGGCTCCATAATAATGCACAAAAGAAATGGATGCCACAACTTCTGATGAGGTCGTGACCAAAAGCCAATTTACAAGGTCACCACAGACAAAGAGTCACCAAGAGACAAGACCTTCGTGCCCGGGGGAACCTGCCCGTGATGCGCATCCGGGTTACATCACCTGCTGACCACCAACGGCCCACGAGGCAGCGTTCAGCACAGTGGAGTTGGAATCAATAGGAGCTTCGTGGTGAGGATGACGGGAGTGTTCAAGCATAGTAGTGTACTGTTTCATGTTAGGCAATGGGTCTTCAAAAAGTGAACAGGAAGTACGAACCTTGAAGCCAAAGTTAAGCACCAAAGCAACCGCCAGACCAATGCACACCACGAGAGGTCCGATCATGTTGTCGAGGTCCTTGCCGCTACGTTGGCGGATCAGACGAGCACGCTTCTCGTACATGTACCAACCCCAGGCGGCGGAGAAAAGAGCAAAAAATGTGTAGACGACGGCGAGGGCCTGAGCCACGCGATTGTGTTTGCCGGCGGCGTTGTACAGACCCAGAGACAGACTGGAAAGCAGGATACTGATGTGCAGCCATTTGATAAATGTACGCTGGTTGGCGAGCCATACCTTGCTCTCGACGCGAACGGGGCCGGTGTCCTTGATCCAGACCCCAGGGTGGCGAACACCAGGAGGCAAGGCAACGGTCTCTTGGCCCATCCATTTGGGCGTGATGCCGACAGACTGCAGCATGGAGGAGATGCGAGAGGGACCTGGCTCCTGAGTCTCGGTCTCCTGGATGGTCTCAGTCGAGGTATCCATCTCGCGGCGCTGAGGCTCGAAGGAGAGGATACGGGGATTGGAATGAGCATCGCTGACCCCAGAAGGGCGGCGGAGGTTGACACGGCCAAAGTCACCTTGGTGGAAGACGTTCCAACGGCTAAGAGGTGAGCCGATCAAGGGGTTTGCGCTTGGGCTGCCTGCACCACCCAAGAAGCTGCCAACGGCAATATCTTCCTCGGCGCGCTTAGCCAGCCGTTCTTGTTCTTCGTGGAAGGCGGTCTCTGGGTCACGGCGAATATCATTTTCCAGAGCGCCCAGCCAGAAGGGGAAGCTGTTGACATGGTCTTCGAACAACTGGGCGACACCGTGAACGAACTTGGAGAAGCGCGGGGCTTCCTTGACCAAATGAGAAGTCATAAGGTCATTGATCCACTCGGCGTCGTGAGCCTTGCCGCGAAGCTTGATCTCCAGCAGCCCATGGGGGAAGCGAGCGATCTCTCCGGTGCGGATGTCGCTGAAGGGGTATGTCATGCCGGCGTTGTCTAGATCGGTACGGTGCCACTCGGAGGGGTCACGGCAGGGACGCTCGCTATCAAGGGCATCCTCACGAATGAGAGCAAGGTTGGTATCGAGAGAAATGCGGATGCGGTCGTCTCCAGGAATCTGGAAAGCGGTGCGAGTGTAGTTGGCGCGGAGCATGGGCTGTAGGTCATTCTCCTTGATGAACGCCTGGAGCTCCTCGACATCCTTCTTAAGGGTCTCGGCTTCGGCCGATTCCCCGTTATTCATATCCTCCATGCGGTGAACCTGCTTGTCCAAGTGGTATTCGCCGTCCAGGAACTCCTTAACGTGCTTCTCCTTGAGCTGCACCTTGACCTCGCGACTGCTATCGTCCTCGGCGACGATCTTCTTCTCCAGGAAGATGGGCGGCTTGTCCTGCAGCTGGCCAGTCCAGCGCAGCCGAAGAGATCCAGCCTCAGCCGCACGGGCAACCTTCTGGTTGTAGAGATCGAACTGAGGAGTGTCGAAGTAGAGAGAGGTGATGGTGGGGTCATCGGTCATGGTATCGATGTTTTTAGAGGTCGTGGGGTTGTAGATGAGGACAGGGAGGCGACGGAGAATGAATGTCTTGACCTCGAGTACATTGTCCGAGTGCACCCAGAACTTGTAAGAGGAGTACACGTCACGACCATGAAGGCGCTCCGACTCCTTGGTCTGCACGACATTTTGGCTCAGCGCTTCACGCACAAAGGCGTACATCACCGAGAGGCGATGAACCAGTGGCGAGTAGTCCTCCGAGTTGAAAGGCAATTGGGACAGGCGGACCTGCAGCAGGGGCTTCACCTTATAGCGGGCGCCTCGCTTGCGGTCATGCTTCTTGGCAGCCTTCAAGAAGCCGGTGAAGTTGATGCGGCTATACTTCTCAAGCTCACTGACTTCTTTAGTAATGCCGTCGAGCTCCTGCAGGACCTCAGAAGCAATGGTGCGGCGCTCCTGGCCCTCCGGGACTTCAGCTTCCCCCTCAGTGGTTGGGGCCAGCGGACGCAGCTTGGCCTCGCAGGCCGAGGTACGTTCCCGAAGCTGCTGATAGGTCTCGACTTGGAAGGAATTGACCTTGTCCAGCTGAACATTCAGCAATTCCTGGACGAAGGCCTCCTCGTCCTGTTCAGTCCACGGGCTATCGTCGGAGTCACTAGCATCCGCGCCGTTGACATCATCCTCGCGCAAGAGAGTCTTGAGCTTGGAGTAGTCAATGTACTTGCCCTTCCAAGGAGCGTACACAGCGTGCCGGAGCGTCTTGCCGAAACGCATGGTGGCTCAAGCCGTGGGGTTGGGCCAGATAGAAATGAGGCTGTGTAGCGTAGGGAAGTAGCAATCAAATATGCAGACGAGGGGAAGATCGATGGTCGGGAAAGTCAAAGCCCCAAGTCCAGAATTAAAACCTTGCAGCACCTGTGCGTAGCTCCTACTAGGAAAAAAAAATATAAAAAAAAAAAGAGCACTAAAGACAAACTACTGCAAGAGGCGTCGTTTCGAGGTTGAGCACGTGCGTCCGTCCTTGGCCGTTAATCCTCGTTGGAAGGACCAATCAGCGTTGGTTTCGGAAAGACAGCGGCAGAGATCCACTTTTATCCGGATTATCTATTAGTCCGTAAACCGGGCACTGGTCTGTGCTCGCGGTCTCGACTCCTCCCGGGATTGCGGTGGGCTGCTGGTATAGTACGTCCCCAAACAGTAAAAGATGGAACATCCGCCCAGGGGACTGTCTCACCATCTTCATGATGTCTTGTCGAATTTACACCGTCGTCCATTCCCTCATGTTCCCAACCCTCCTACCTGCAAGAAACGCGCATCCGTTGCCCTGATCCTCCGTGTTCGCCCGACCTATGAACATTGGCCGAACATCAACGGGACTTTGGACACCTCGCTACCCGTAGAAGAGCGCCTAATTGAGTTCTTCGCACAATCCTGGGTCCAGCATGGCGAACCGGAGGTTTTGTTTATCAAGCGCGCATCGCGCGTTGGTGACCGGTGGACCGGCCATGTCGCGTTGCCGGGCGGGAAGCGGGATCCTGAGGATGAGGATGATAAAGCTGCGGCAATTAGGGAAGCCTCGGAGGAGATTGGGCTGGATTTGACCACAGATGATTGTATCAGTGTGGGCAATCTTCCCGAGCGCGTGGTCACTGCTAGCTGGGGCGCATTGCCGTGAGTGCCATGGTCAAGACTGTCGTGTTCTTTCTTCCAAGCTAATGTATGTTTTTTAGGTTGATGGTTCTCTCCCCGTTCATCTTCCTATATACCCGTAGCGACTCTCCGATGCTCAAGCTACAGCCTACCGAGGTGGCATCGACACATTGGATTCCTCTTCGAGCCCTCCTATCCCCATCCCTCCGTACCGTGGAATACGTGGATATGTCCCAGCGCTTTGCCCGTCAAGGAGGTTTCCTGAGCCGTCTTGCGATCCGATCTTTGATGGGCTGGATGCAATTCTCGGCCGTGCGACTAGCTCCGTCAGAGAGTCAGCAGTGTTGTACGTCGGCCCCTGGTTTGATCTCTGAAGACCAAGCGCCTAAGCCGTCGTTGGTGCAAAGGTTCAAGTCATGGTGCTTGAGTAACCAAGCCGATTCTGGTGATAGGGATAGACCACTGCTCCTCTGGGGACTGACTCTTGGGATTCTGGCCGATTTCTTGGACATGCTTCCACCTCATACCGCCGTGCAATTATGGCAATACCCCACATTCACAGCCCCCGATCTGAAGCTAATCTGTGGAATCTTAACATACCACCTGCGAAAGCGTAACATGCTGCAGGTGAAATTGGGCCCCCGCACAAGTGATACCGCTGCGGACAGTGAGACTGTCGCGCAACCCGTTACATCCGAAAAATCCACCCATGAACCCAATGAAGTTGGCATTGGTGGGCTTGGTGTTGGAACCTATTATGGCCCCACGGATCGCACACCGGATGGAACCTCGTATGCGGTCGGCATCTTGTTGCGGGGATACTATCAGCGCCTGCGGGTGGCGATCTGGGTCTTCCTTGCCTGGCGCATGGCCATCGGCTCTGCAGCAGCCATCACAGCCTGGCGTGTCCTCCGTCGAAGATTTCAATAGAGCATTTTGAATTGTACCATAGCTTAGAGATATCCATGCACATTTGACTACTGGGATTTTAAATCTTAGAATTATGCGGAGATAATGCCGTTACATAAGCACTCTCATCCCCACCCGTTTTGGAGCTCGGAAGTAAACAACGCTCTCAACTCTCGACACTAGAACAGATACACAAGCAGCCATGGCTGCTACTCAGAAGCTATATCCACGCGGCACCGTCAAGCGCATCGTCAAGGCCCACTCCAATCGGAGCGTGAGCAAGAATGCCGACATCCTCGTGAGTCCATCTCAGCCAGCGCAGGCGCTCCAAATCAATGGACTGATCGCAGCCATCACCGACAGATTTTCCTCGACTACATGCTCTTTATGCAAGAGTACGGCCCATTCCCCTGCCCCTCGAGATCTTTTGCCAGCGCAGGCCTTGCGCGTTCGAGCTAAGCCAAGCGGAGGTAGAACGATAAGCTAATCGGGCACCAGGTTAATGCGCGAGGCATCGATTCGATCGCGAAAGTCGGGGGAAAAGAACATTTCTGCGAATGCAGTTCGCAAGGTCACCGAGGTACGTCTTGCATCTTCGGGTGGTTCTGCCCAGGGGCTCTTCGTCTTAACTGTGTCCTTCGATCTTAGAAAACCCTGCGCAAGTTCCAGGGATGAGTGAGGCGATGCGTTTGGTCTCTACGTGCAAGTGAGGGACACTTGGTCGCGTGACGGATGCAGTCCTCAAACACGGGTTTTGATCATGGCGTATAGGCGTACAGAGTGTGATTATGATACCCAGGAAATGCAAACCATGAGAAGATAGAATCCTAGAGCGAATGTGCGTAGTCGTGGGTGAAGGCGATGTGGGCCACTCACAGGGTTCGGACGACTTCCACCCGCATCGATTCTTCTACACCTCAGCTCCTTCTTTCTCCCCATCATTTTCTTTCCTTCCAGACATCGCGCGCAGTCTTTTGTCTTGTGCTGTTTTCTTTGCATAGCATAATCCTCCCGCTTTTAACTTTACAACGCTGTGTCATCCACATTCCATCATGGCTTCCGCCTCCGCCGCTCAGCCTGTCTCTAAGGAGCACCCCTCCCGAGCTTCGAGCACTTCCAAGACCGATGCCGAGAACCCTGCGATCGATGTGAATGGCACAGAGCACCCTTACCTGAAGGAACTGCAAAAGTAGGTCCCTGCGATCACATTGGAAATTGGCGAAAGCTAACTAATTGCGCCTATAGGAGCCTCCGCAATGCCGTCAAGAAGCTGGTATGTGACCTGATCTTATGCATTTGGTCTTTTGGCACGTGCTAACATATTGCTTCCCTTTCACAGAATGCTACCGCTAAGACAGACGCCATCATCGCCGAAAATCCTGGCAAATCCCTTGATGAGCTCGTGGCGGAGAAGAAGCTCAACGCTGACCAAAAGGCCCAGGCCTTGAAGAAGCCCGCCCTGCAGGCTCAGGTTGCGCAGATTGAGGAGCAGTTTTCTCATTATAGGGAATTCGCTGCGCAATACGAGGAGCGCCTGGCTAGCCAGAAGGCGGCGCTGGAGAAGATCCACCATGAAGAGCTGGAGGCTGTGCGCGCAAACGCTGTCGCCGATACAACAGAGGCTACCTCAAGGCTGCTGCGCCAGCAATTGCTTACTCTCACCAAGTTCCTGTGCGCCGCAGCCAATTCCCGCCGCGCTGGGGAGGAGTCTCTCGAGAGTCGCGCTCTCGAGGGCGTTCTCTTCCAGGTGTACGCTGGAAACCAGGACGCCGTCAACTCTATGCTCAAGTTGATTAACGGTGCTGACGACAAGGTGCCCTCGGTTGAGGGTCCGGATTTGGAATTCACTTGTGAGTATTTTTCACGTATGCGAATGGACTCGCGCTGACATTCCTTCAGACGGAGACGTGAAGCAGGCTTCCAACAAGTATGCTCCCGAAGATACCGAAGCCGTTGAAGCTCCCGCCGAGAGCGCCCCCATCTCCGACCCTACTATGACTAACGCTGGCCTCACCGAGTTACAAGACACCTCTGTCAGTGCTGCCGTGAGCGCGTCCGACGCCCGTGCCCACCCTGACTCCAATGCGCCTCCCTCCCAGACTCTGATCTCCGATGCTGGTAACAAGGTCGCCGAGAACACCTACGATCCCAATGGCCTGGCTTCGTCGGCCACTACGGACAGTTGGGTCGAGGTCCCTCGTGACCTCTCTGAGACCGAGACTGGCCTGCAGGCCACCATCGCCAACACTGACACTCACAATGCCACAACCGAAGATGCTAGTGCAGGCAAGGGGCATTCCAATGGGCGTGGTCGTGGACGCGGTGGTCCTCGCCGTGGAGACGCCTCGCGTGGTGGACGCGGACGAGGCGAGCGCGGCCGTGAGAACCGAGGCCGGGGTGGACGTGGCCGCGGTCGTCGCGGCGGTGCCAATGGCTCTCCTGCAGCGACTCCTGCAGTGCAGGAGTAAATTGGAGTAATCACTTGCTCATTATCCATTGTTCATTGCCTATTTCCATCTCTGCGCCAACGATCTATGCGGCTGTCTAGGTGGTATGGATCACGAACGCAACGAATTTTCTTTTCCGGACTGCGAAAAGTGGCCATTGGTTTTGTTTCGAGCGTGCATATTCCCAGACTTCAGAAACTTCAATATCAATGTATTCTATAATTCTATTTTGTGGTTATGTAAACCGAATGCAGTACCGTCGGCCGAGGGGTTCTTAGCTTTGGCTCCACTTGCAACTCCATATTTACCTCGTCATCGCGAATCTGATCGACTGAACAAGACCACATCTCCGCTTTCCAACTATTTTCCATTCATTCTTCTCCGGTGTCAGCACACAATCATGGCCATCGCGGGCGCCCAACGTAAACGGGTCCTCAAGGTGTTGATGATCTCACTGCTGCTAGATCTGGTATGCAATGTTGACGAGTCATCTTTTGTCCCGCAACCATGCTAAAGGATTCAGATCTCCTTCACCTTCATCCTGCCACTGTTTCCCTCCTTACTATCGTTCTATCGCGCTCAAGATCCTTCGCCGGACTCTCTCTTAAATCGCATCTTCCACTACCTCAACGCCTACAAGAACTCCTTCGCTAAACCCATCGACTCCCGCTATGATATCGTCCTCCTCGGCGGCGCCCTCGGCTCCCTCTTTTCCCTTCTCCAGGCGTTCGCCGCTCCAGTCATAGGACATCTCTCCGACCGCTATGGCCGCCGCCGTGCCCTGTTGACAGCAATGCTCGGTAATGTGGCAAGCGTGGCGCTCTGGGTGTCAGCAACAGATTTCCGCACGTTCCTGGCCAGCCGTGTCGTCGGTGGTCTCAGTGAAGCAAACGTCCAATTAGCCAATGCCATCGTTGCAGATGTGACCGATGATTCGCGTCGTGGCGCGTCAATGGCGCTCGTCGGAGCTTGTTTCAGCATCGCCTTCACTTTCGGTCCGCTGCTCGGTGCCGGCTTGAGTACCGTTCAGACTGTCGCGGAGAATCCGTTTCTCACTGCTGCACTTGTCTCGCTTGTTTTGATTCTGCTGGAGACGGGGTATCTTTGGGCTTGTTTGCCCGAGACGCATCCGCGCCTTACGACTCTGACACAGGAGACCGAGACCGAGGACAAGAGCAAGATTGAGGGGAATGCCAAATCTACGGCACCGAGAGAATATACCAATAATCCGGCGATTCTCAATGCAATTCATTTCCTCTTCCTGCTTCCTTTCTCGGGATTGGAGTTCTCGCTGCCTTTCTTGACGACGACTCTTTACGCAGGATCAACTACCAGCCCCGCGGCCCTCAACGGCCGTCTACTCTCTCTGATGGGTCTGATTGCATCCCTACTCCAGGGAACGGTCGTTCGTCGACTACCGCCACTCGTCACCATGCGAGCTGGTGTCGTTGCTTGTGCATTGTCATTCTTCTGTCTAGCTCACGTTTCCACGCCAAAGGGCCTCTATGCCGCGGGAGGTCTTCTCGCTGTGACAACCGCTACGGTTGTTACTAGCCTCAATAGTCTGGGTAGTTTCGAAGCCCGTGACGCTGACCGTGGTGCTGTGATGGGCCGTCTTCGTGGCTGGGGTCAGGCTGGACGCGCTGCTGGACCGATTCTGTTCTGTACATTGTTCTGGTGGGCTGGGCGTGAGGCTGCGTATACCGTGGGTGGCGGGGCAATGTGTATCGTTTCGGTTGCTGTCTTTGGGTTCTTGAAGTCACCTGCTGTTCATTTGAAAAAGGAGTAAAGGGGTTCTATGTTTGTCTATAAGCCAGTGCTGGACACCGGTATTGGGGTAAGTAGGTCTGGATGCTCTTATGTGAGACTTGTACGTTATGAAATGAAGGTCTAGCACTATGCTCCGAGAAATACGGGATATAGCATTGCTTGTTGGTACATACCTTGAAGGGATATGAAATTCTACTGTAACAATCCGCAAATTTATTTGATGGATATGGTGTTCAAGAGTGCGCGCTTGGTTCTCAATCAGTAGCGATTCTGGGATCGTCCAAGTGGCGAGTGATCTGCTAGACACTTTGCTACCGTCAGTCTACCTTTAGATTTCGAGGTACACCTGTCTTTTGAACCACCCAACTGTGACTTCATCTGTCCTCTGACGTAGGAATAAGGCCCTTCTTTCAAACGGGCTTTCTCTTACGGACGCTTGAAATGACTAATAGCATACGCTACCAAAGCTCGACAAAGTCTTCCATATATTCCCTATAGTTCGCTCCTTCAAAGATTGAGATCCTTCAAATCGCCGGATACGTAGAAACAACTCACTAATTGGACACAATGACTCTCTTATTGCTGAATTGATCCCCGAGCATTCCTGATGCCACGTCCACCATCCACCTTGCACAGCTTTCACGCGTAATAAACATACTTGATCCGCTCTCATCGCATGCGAAGGATCTGACGGGTGCAATTCCACCGCTGCTGAGCCCCACGGCTAATGCAAGTGTCCACGAGATCGCATCGCCGCAGTTCCCTTCGATTTCATCATTGACTGCGCTGTGGTCTTCATACGTTTTGCCCACATTACTGTAGCTCATCATGAACCGAGCGAGATACGGCGTGACTCCGTAACTCTCGCCCACACCGAGAGCATTCATAATCACTAGACGAGGCTTAGATCCCTTCAAAGGTTGCTGGGCCCGTAAAGTTCGAGCCGCATTGATTGTCGAGTCAGCGATCAGGCGTGGAGGGCCGATGAATTTTGCCCATGGGTTTCCGGAAGCACGTAATGGGTTGAGAAATATGACAACTGCGTCGACAGGTACACCTGCTGCCGCAAAGGCACGCTCCATGTCTTTCTCCGACAAGGGAGAGCCTTCGACGACGGTCATATTTTGGCGTGGTTCTATTGAAGCGACATTTCGGACCAAAGCCGTGACAGAGTGACCTGGAAAAAGTATCAGCTACTTCCTTCGACTGAATGAATGCGGACTAGCCTTGGTCTAGAGCATATTGATATCCAAAGACACCAGTTCTTCCGGTCGCACCCAGTATCAAGAGATGCATGTTCAGTCACTTTTATCAACAAGTTAAAAGCTTTGCAACGGGGATTTGAATGTGAAACTGGGGAAATTCGATGTACAATTCTGGCTAATGCTCTTCACATCAATAGGAACGGATGACGCAGAGAGTGACATTCAAATGACAGCTTTGAAACAACACGGATGACAAATCACAATAACCAGGAAAATGAGTATCTTGGGGATTATCTTGGGTCGAATGAACATCTGTACTTAAGGAGTTCAAATCTTCGTGTGAGACAAGTGTGATCTCGGCTTCTTGTATTTTTCATTAAAAAAGTTGGTCAATGTACTATGGTTCCATCAAGCTCAATGCTTTAACAGCACTCTTTAAATTCTACGCTTCATCAATACCGTGACGGGAGGTTCATTGTAAGTCTTTCTTTTTGGGAGGTCAGAAACTGTCTTTGTCTCATTGCATGAATGCCTTTCATCCGTATCCTTGAACATCCTTTGTCAGGCTCTGATATAACATTGAAACGTCATCAACGCAAAGTATCAAACAAATTCTCGTTGGAAACTCGACTATCCATGTCTCTTTTAAAGACTTACAGGCATGAAGCTGAGATGCTAGTTCTGCAGCCGCGATGAAAGGCACGCGGGAGCCGCTTTACTGAATGAGGTGGTACCTGGAAATGAAAAAAGGTGCTTGCATTATGCATATTTGACAAGGGTATAATAATACAGAGTAAGGCGAATCAAGAGTGATGAGGGGCTAGTGTGGTCTAAGGGCCTGCCATAGACGATTCAAGACGGTTCATGACCGCCGATACCGCGTATCACTCGACGGCAAGCCATAGTTCTCACACGACTCCATGACCAGGCCAGGACTTGGCGCCGGATCAAGCGACCCGCGCGCCTTTCCAATAAGCCAATCTGTCAGCGTCACAAATTTGGACGTACGGTCCCATCCCTCTGCCTCGTCCGCGTGCTCAATGGTATGCGACAGTATGCGCCCCTCCTCGTCAAAGGAGAAGATGAAAAGCCCGCTGAATTGTTCCTCCTTTGAGAGTTTGAAGATCGGTTCTTCGCCGCCGAGGAGCACGCTCAGGCCCTTATTTGTTCCGTTCGTTGAGGTTGAGAGATGGAGCTTGTCGGTTGATTCCGTGCGGTGGCCTTTGGTAGGTGTATCGTGGAAGGGCCGGCTATCAGTGCGCGGTTCTGTCTTCCATCGTACGACTAGTCGCTCGTCGCCGCAATCGTGTTGATCACCGCGTTCTGGGTCGAGAATGGTCCCTGCTCGTACGATCCGTTCACTAAGGATTTGAAGCTTTACGTTTCCCACGAGCGGGACGCTGCTCCATGCGACAGGGACGGTCCATAGTGCTGCGCGATAGAGCGTGCGACCCTTGACGGTGGGGAGGTGTTGGTGCGTGGAGGGGAAAAGGTGCAAGTTGACGCTTGGCGCGAGGATCTCGGCTGGGAGAGTATTGTACAGTATTGTTGGGAGGAGAGGGGAGAGTGTGCGTAGAGCTGTAGCAATCACAGTAATCAATCGGTCCGTTCGTGATGCGCAAGACGTTATTGAGGTGCGCAAACTTACTCTTTCCGAGCTTCAGGATGCGCTCGTCTGGCGGTTTGTGTTCATTCTGAGGCCCCTCACTTAATCCGTCGAAATGATCGCGAATCCGAGTTGGCGAGAAAAAGGCGGCAGGAAATGACCTCAATGACGGTGAAGGCAGCCAGGGCTCTTTCAAGATGCCATGACGCGGATGAGCTAATGATCGTTGCCGGGAGTGCGTGAACGGGCGAACCGCACTCGGCTTCAACGCCAGGTGGAGACGCGGGTGCGATGCTGGCATTCTGCCCTGTGCACGGTGAGCGCAGTTGTCATGTCATGAGAGGCTGGAGGAAGCGAGAAGTGAAAGTTGAGAGTAGGAAGAAGGAAGTAGGAAGTAGGAAGTAGGAAGTAGGAAGTAGGAAGTTGGAAGTTGGAAGTTGGACTTACAAGAGTCGTAGAGTCGTCTGCGCCTCCCGGCTAGCGACGGACCAATCGGAGGCCACATGGATACAATGTGTTTAACTTCCAAAATATCGCCATGTCAAGAGCTCGTAGGTTTCATAACTCCAATAGAAAAAAAAATGCATAGTCACTAATGTACGTGGTATTTCCCCCCCGAAACCCATTCCTCCTTCAAGCCAGTTCGTCATCATCACCCATGCCCATCACGCGTCGTTCAGCCAGATCTCGGATCTTGTCTTCCAACACGCCACGTCCATAGCGTTGAGCGACCTTGGCCGCTGCCTCAATCATCTTGCCATTCCGGTCGGTCATCAGATTCACGAGTTCTAATGCCTTCATACCACGGTCTTCGCCTTCTCTGCATTCAATGGCCAGCATTTGCAGCAGCGTCTTGTCGATATCCAGCTCCTTGCGCGCCAACTCGGTTCGTTGAGACGAGGTTGCGTTGGTCGAAGCCAGCAGGTCGCGGAAGAGTGACAGAAGAACACTACCGCGCACAAATGTTTCCTCGAAACGGGAGACTTCGTTCCCAGCGGCGGCATCATCGTTCGACTCATTCACCGATTTACTGGAGATAGGGAGCTGGAAATCGAACTCGCTGAGTAGCGGCCGGGGGAAGTATGGGTTTTTGTCACCACCCTTGAGAATGATGCAGTGGAACTTGTCCTGGGCAACAGCCACGGGCCAGTATGTCTCTTCTTTGCGGCCGCCGGCAAGACGGGCGAGTCGCTTGGTGTCCAGAAGAGGCACCCACCGTGCCTGGCCAGTCGTGCGCCAGTGCTGCAGCACCAAAAGGGTGCCTGTTGTGTCATAAATGCAAGGATCCTGTGGGAGTTAGCACCTGTCTTCAGAATAGTTTTGGAGATTGACGTACTCCCATGTCAGAGAAGAAGACACTCTGAAGTTGAGCTCCTGATGGAAGGGCGACCACATCTTCATTTTGGCAGATCTCGTCACGCTTGACATTCTCAATTGTGTATTGCAAAGTGGTCTGTCGGCCATCAGCTGACACAGGACCATTGCCAATGGTCATGATATAATCCCGCCAAGCAGAGCATGTCACGGCCTGGCTCTTTTGTCGGTACACTCGGAAAGGTGTTCCAAAGAGTGTATAGACCCGCACATAGTCCTTTGATGTGATAGCGACAATGTAAGATTCGCTGAGTGCCAAAGCTTATAACAATAGTTAGTATTTAGGAATTCTGTAACTTGCAACTAGACATACCTCGAACTGCCTCGCCTTCTGGCAAGGTGGTCCGCCAGTCCGCTCGCGTTGTCCATGTCTCGTGTGGTCGGTAGAAGATTGAAGCAGGGCCATCTTCGGGATTATTGGAGAAAAGCGTACCGTTTTCGTCTGCCTCATATTAGAAAAAAGAAAATGCACTAGACACGCTGCTGCGAACTCACTAAGGCAGGCCTTGTCATATTGATATGGGTCTGTGAAATGAAAGTCCCTGTGGGCCTCTCGGTCATAAAACTCGACAGTCACGGTATGATGTGTCTCCTGGTCAACAGTCCAGACAGCACCAGTCAGATTCAAACCTAGTAAGATTAGCAAAGAATCTTCAATTCCTGTGAACGACACATACAGAGATATCGTCGATTGCCTGCCCATGGTGTACTGCCGGGCTGGAGAGGTGGGTGAGCTTTGACCTGCACAGAGCCTGAGAAAGCCCTCTTGCTCTCTGGGCCATCGATTGCATCCAGGTGACCATTGGGCCGCTTCCCGAATGCATTGAGCTCTTCGGCGTATCCAGCTCCATCGTCATCCTCGACAAAGTCAGCCATCTCCTCATCTTCGCCTAGAATATCATCCAAGGAGTCGGGGGTGCCTGCTCGTGCCGCACGCTTGATTGCATCCCGAGATCGGTCAGCCAACGTCTGTCTAGCGTTGGTAGAGATCTCGGTCAAGGGACCGGGAAAGATGGGAGCTGCTTGCAGAGGCTTTGCGAGCTGAGCCTCCTGATCCCTAGGAACAAAGTTGTCATAAATGAAGAGCTCTCCATCCGAGTTGGTAAATGACAGGGAGTTCTTGTTTGGGTGCCACGCAATGTTGATAACGTTGGCAAATTCGAAGTGCTGAAGGATCTTCTGTGTCTTGCTTTCCCAAAGCACAATCTGCCCATCGGCGCCCGCAGATGCCAGAAGCGCTCCATTTGGGGACCAGCTCAGAGCAGTGATGTCGCCCGTGTGTCCTCCAGCAAAAGACTTCTCCTTCTTCCACTCCGAAATTGAGTAGATGGAAATATCCCTGGTTGCTTCTGCCACGGCAAATGCGGTGCCGTCGGGGTGCCACACAGCTTTGGACGTCGCCTCCTTTTCCGGCTCAAGTGCCTGGATGACACCGTCAAGTTTGCGCACCAGCTCTGGCTCTTCCTCGTTCAGAGAATAGATGTAGAGTTTGCCGTTAATGTCGGAAACAGCCACGTAACGGCCATTGGGGTCGAATGCGACGTGCTTTGCCCCTTTCTCTTGTTCCCGGAGGTATTTCGTCTGAGTCATGTCATCTATCTTGACAATCTTGACCGAAAGCTCGCTGCATCGTCATGTCAGCTTTCGTCCTCCTAGTCTCCCATGATGCTTCAACTTACTCGCTGGCCACTGCGGCCCACTCGCCATCTCTAGACACCGCAATATCTCGAATCGGCAATGCGCATCGTAGTAGCAAGAGGCCCTGCTGACCAGTCACGGCGTCGTACTGCCAGACCGTTCCATCTTCCGCGCCCATGAGAAAGCATGTATTCGTGGCGCCAATTGCACAGTGTCCATCAATGGCTCCGTCCACTGTTTTTGGTTCACCATCCTCGCCGACCGTATAGATACGAATCGCTTGATTTGATCCACCGGTAATGACTCGTCGGCCGTCGGGGGTGTATGCCAATACTGTCGGGCCCGGAGGGTCTACATCGCAGTCGCATGTTAGCAGGAACGGGACCGTGAAATTTAGGAACAAGACTTACGAGCCGGCCGGCCACGAGGGCGAATGGCGTCAGAGCTCATGGCGCGAGTGGAATTCGAGATAGAATAGTCTGGAGCATCAATGCTCCATGTCGGAGACGCGTCGCTGACGCGCAAGGGATTTAGCCTAATCGGGTTAGGGCTCAGGGCAAGTCCCTTTATGGGTCAAGATAATCCAGATGAGCCTATACTCAACATCTTTCGGGGCATCTCCAAAGATACCTGTTAGATCTCTTTGTTTCCCGATCTTGGTACTTGGAATAAAATTTGAATACTTCTGAAAAATGAAGTCACAGCCGACTGTTCAGATCCGACTTTATCATATTTCTGGTCCGGTATGACTACTCCTCTGGGCACTTTAAGAGTTCCTTGTAATTTGTGACTATGTACGGACTTCAGATACTTGCACCTCCGGCTGTGAGGAAATCGAAGTCAGTGCCTTCATGCGCCTGGTTTACTGACCGCTCATACAACCCGCGATATCCTCTGCGCTGCTTCCTCGACTGTACCGGACCACCCCCACTCTGCAAAACTTGCTTTCTCTGTGAGATACGAGCTTGCAATACATCATCTGAGATGTTAAGATGAAGCCTACGGTTTTCAATGTCGCAGATAATCAAGTCTCCGGTCTCAACAATCCCGAACGGAGAATCGGGTACCGCCGCCTCCGGTGAAATGTGCAGTACGATGGTACCTCCTGCAGTACCTGACATCCGACCATCCGATAATCGCAGCATATCCTTGACGCCAGCAGCAGCTAGCTTTTTGGGTATTGGAATTAAACCTGCTTCTGGCATCCCCGGGTTTCCGATTGGGCCGATGCCTTTGAGCACTAACACGTTGTCCCTTGTCACAGGAAGATCCGGGTCATCAATCCGTAGAGCTAGGTCTGCAGAATTCTCGAATACAACAGCCGATCCAGTGTGTGAGAGGAGAGATCGATCCTTTGAAGCAGATGCTTTGATCACAGCTCCATTTGGCGCGAGGTTGCCATAAAGAATAGCCAGAGAAGACGACGGGTGAAGAGGATTCGAAAGCGGTCGAATGATATCCTGTGCGAATGAGAGCTTCGATTTCGACGCATCCAAGACCTCACCCAGTGTCTGGCCGCTGATAGTCTGGGCGGACAAATGAAGCAGCGGTCGAAGGACTTGCAGAAGCGCCAACATGCCACCGGCATTGTGGAAATCATTCATATAATTATCTCCGCTGGGCTTGAGATCAATCAGAAGCGGGGTCTTCTTTCCAATTTCTTCAAATGTCTGCAATGTTATGACACCTTGGAGATCGGGGTGTCGGTTTGCAATAGCTAGCAGATGAACTACTGCGTTCGTGGACCCTCCAATCGCTTGAAGTACCGTGATGGCATTCAAGAAGGATTCCTTGCTCAAAACTTCTTGTGGCTTTCTTGCCGCTTTGGCTACTGCCACAGCGTTTGCACCAGTCTCTTCTGCAATTCTTAGTCGAGCAGATGATACTGCTGGAGCAGATGCACCTCGGAGAGGCATCATTCCTAGCGCTGCAGTGATGCAGGCCATCGTGCTCGCAGTTCCCATGACACCGCAAGTTCCAATCTATGAGCTTTCATTAGCTTGGATTGATTCCAGCTCGCCTGGGGAGGCACCCACCGTAGGAGCAAGCTCTTCATTGATAGCCGAAATCTCCTCAACATCAATTTCACCAGCTCTAAAAGCAGCCCAGTTGTTGCGACAGTCAGTGCATGCACCGATTCTTTTCCCACGATGACTACCTGGAAGCATAGGGCCAGTGATAAGAGGGAGGATGGGTTTATTGGCAGAGATCCCACCCATCAGCTGTGCAGGAACCGTCTTGTCACATCCTAGAAGAAATCAGCCGCCTACCCCATTGCTCATATCCCGTCCTCATCAAGGACAGATGCTCACCTCCAATCATAATGCAAGCATCCAATGGTTGCGCCTTAATCATCTCCTCCGTGTCCATACTCATCAAATTCCGCAGGAACATACTAGTCGGATGCGAGAACGACTCGGCAACACTGATGGTCGGGAATTCAATTGCCAGCCCTCCATTAAGCTGCACGCCCCGCTTGGCGGCCTCAATAAGCTGCGGTACATTGGCATGGCATGGATTGAAGCCGGAGAATGTATTGATGATACCGATAATGGGTCTTGAGAGAGAATCCTCGGAGTATCCAAGTGCTTTGATGAATACTTTGCGTAGGAATAGAGAAAAGTGGGCGTCGCCGTACGAGGTTAGACCTTGGCGAAGTCCGGAGGTTGAGTTGATTGGAATGTCGAGATCGTAGTCTTGGTTAGGCTCTGCTTCGTTCCCCGTCATTTTGGAAGACATGAAATTTCTATCTTAATTGAGCCATTTAGTACCGGATGAAGACAGGCTTATTTATTTTCACTCGTTGAGTGGATGGTGTCATCGGCTCAACCCCGACCGGATATTATTCCGTCCTAGGGGTCCACCTGGCCTTAGTTTAACTCCTCCGCGGCTGTCAATGCGTCAATATTATTCGTATTCTAGTCAGTTCACGGTGAACAAGGGCTATCCACGAGGCCTGAGGCCAGCAGATGCCACTTAAATTGGAAGGTATCTTTCAACGGCAAAGAGGCCCCAACGCTTTCTATAGAAACATGCAATGATACGAAAATACAAACTAGTCCATAAACTCACGACTTATACCATCGGCTTCAACTTCACCTTGATGTCCTTTGCTGGGTGGAACGCGCCCCAGGTTGTCCTGTGCGGGGGCACTGCGAGCTCCTTCTCACTCGCCGATTGGATGTCCCACATCGATATGATAGACGCGGTAAAGCCAAGGATGACCCGCTCCGTGAAATTGTTGTGTTTTGAGCCGTACAGACCGTCCGCGAAAGGAGCAATCGGGTCTGCATTAACTTGGTTGGCACCGGTTGTAGGTTCGGTCACGATGAAGCGTAGCGGATCGTACTGGCCTGGGTTGGAGAAGCGCTGGGGATCATTGTAATACACGCCGTGCGGCATGATGACCTTCTTGCCGTTGCAAAGCTTGTATGTGCGAGGTTCACTTGCATCTTCTTTCGACTCGGTGAGAGTCAGGTCTGAATTCAACTTCCTGAGCGAGATTCCTGCCGAGTGCATGCGAAGGGTCTCGTAGTAGCATGCTTTGAACATTGGGCATGAAACAAGTAATTTTTCGAGATCGAGATCGAGTTTGGGAGGCTCATCAAAGGGAAAGCCGGTCTCTTCGCGGCTGAGCCGAATACTTTTCACGCAGGAGGCGATTTCGGTGCGAATTTCTTTCAGAAGCGCGCTATCCGCAAAGATGTGGACAATCATCCAGAAGGTTATCTTCGTGGTGTGTTCAACAATGTCCCAATACAGAGACAAATTACCCGCCGCGCTCGCTCTAGGAGACAAATTCAATCTCCGAAAGGTCCGCATTCTCTGCTTTACCAACTCGGAAACATCATCGAGGTCACGAAGTTCAATCCCTGGGTCAATGCCATCATCAAAGGCTGAGAATGCGCGGTAAAAGACCGACATGACATGAATGAGCCGGTCCCGTGCAGCGAATCCCGATGACACTCCGGGGCTGGGAACCCAGCGACGAGCTCCAACAAACAATGGGACATAGTTTCTGTCCAGTGTCCATAGGTCTCCCAGGAACATGGGGAAATTTTCCAGAAAGGCCTCGCCCATCAGCAAGGTTGTAAGATTGTGGCCCATAAAGTTCCGCACGAGCTCATAAAGCTTCACTTCGCAGACCGAGTTGTCTTCCTCCGACATTGTCACATCGCTATCACGTTCCCAAGCGGGCATGTCAACAGGGCTGCGAGAGAATGTGACAAAGTTTGAAACATTATTTTGCAAGTACTTGGTGATGAGGGCTGACACTTCAGTCGCAAATGAGTCTTTGCTTACAAACTCAGCTACATTGTCACTGGTTTCCTGGTCGCGGTTCACTTGCAAGCTGCGCACAAGACTGCGGTCGCCAAAGACATTTTGAAGAGCTTGGTCGAGCAGAGGAGCATTTGATGCATTTGAAGACATCACAGTGTTTATCATCGATGGTGATACCACTGTATCGTAGCTTTCGCCCCAAAGGTAGATGCCAAACACAGGCTCATTCATGGATTCCCTAGATGGCACTTAGCAGCTGTAATATTTCTAGTATTCAAAGGTTACTAACCGTAAAGATTTGAAGAGGCCGAGATGATTCCAGGCAATTTGCAATCCATGTCCGATCCAAGGGAACCAGTACGGTGCCAATCGTGAGGTACGTGGCTCATTCAGGTCAAATTCACGTTGTCGGCTCTGTAATCCGCTAATGACGCGTGTAGCGATGCATGAAAACACCAAGACTCCAAGGAATGCTGTCCATGTCATTCCAGACAGGCAGTCCCGGATAGTCTGAACTAAATTGGAGGGTGAAGTAGTGTGTCGCTCCATGTTGGGGACGCGAAGGAAAATAGAAACAGCCCCAGTGATTCCCACTGATACTGGGCCAAATTCTAGTCAGCGCCCGCAGATGATGCAGAATATATCGAAAGTAGTGATTCGATTATGAATGAGATAAAGAGTTCATCTTTCGGTCTTCACGACCGATGCTGTGAAAGGGAGGCTTAGCAGAAATTCGTCGTGCCTGAGGTACACCTGCTTAGTCATCACATTGGCCTCGGGTGAGATGCGTTTCTGTCCTTACAAACTCTACAAAACATGCTACTCGACTGGGGTTATAATCGATGAAAAGGGTATGAACAATTGGCTTCTCTGCTTAATCACAAATACTCGAGTGGGAAATGTACATCAGACAGTCAGAGCCTTGAACCGCATGCTTCGTGAGAAGTCCCTCAGTCGGAGTAGAACAAATCAACACATTGCTTATTTCTCACCTTGTAACATCTTCTTCAAGGTAGCGCTCTGGGTTTCGTATTTCTGGATATTTTCCTGAGATCCTTGCACTTTGCGCAGAAGCCACTTGAGGCGCGAGGTAAGTTCCCAAGGACACTTGGGCAGCGAGCCGAGCAACTGCAACTCCTCCTCATACTTGCCGATACTCTTGTTCTCGTCACTAATCAGCTGTGCAAGAATCATCAGATCCAGGCGGCCCTCTAGAGTCTTATTCTCCGTGAGACGCTGGAATGCAGCTCGGTAGACGGGCTTGCCGGGTTTAATCCATCGTGGGAAGCCTCGCTCGGACCCGATAGCGATGAGCTCGGCTTGCTCCAGGGCTCGGAGGGTTGCTTCGCCATCGCGTTTGAACAGATCGGAAAGGAGGACCTTGTTATACAGCAGGGCGCCGTCCTTGGAACGTGCGATTGATTTGATGAGGTGCCACGCCTGCTCGCGTGACCATTGGGGTGAGGCTGAATCACCTCCCAGAATGAAGATCTTCATGATCTCTGAGGCGGACTGGTCAACGATTCGGTCCACGGCGGCTATTATAAGGTTTAGTAAATGACGATTTATCTCGGTGGATAAAGAATAAACAAACCTTGAGGGGTCTCTCCAGCCTCGATCCGATGAGCCATGAACTCCAGGTCAGTGACCCTGCCACCCAAAACCCTTATACAGTCATCCAAACCATCGAGGGACTGCTTCTCATTCTGAGATGGGCTTTTCGCATCTTCTGTGGACCCAGCTTCCAGATGGTTCATCACAAAGCGGCGACCTACATCAAGCGAACAGTCACCGAGGCTGATAGTGCGGAATACCTGGTTCGGAAGGGCTTTGCTGAGAGGCTTCGCGAAGGATGAATCAGTGGTCAAGAATATGACATGGGCAATGTTTGCCGAAGTCAGGCTAGCGGCCCATTCGGTAAGCTTGTCCAGTACGACACTATCTTCAGCATTATAGACGAAATTGTCAATGACCACGACAGGTCTCCTCTCCGGGTGTGCTTCGAGATACTCATCCTCGCTCAGGTTGGCATCCTTGTCGTCCTTCATCCTGCCATCCAATGCGACTCGCTTCATGGCAACTGCTGTGTTTTGCCAAATCTTGCTGAGCTGTGCATCGAGAGTCTCTGAGAAACCAGCCTTGGTACCAATCATTCCTTGCGCCGCCAGGTCAATGAAACTGCTGATACTATTCATCCAGGAGAAGATCGGTCTGTAGCCAACCTGTGCAGCTGCTCGAGATATCTTGGCAGTGTCGCCGCGAGCATCCTGGATTTGTTTACAGTCGATAACGATTTTGTAGTTGTGATCCTTCAGCACCTGCTCCAAGACAAGCTCTCGCTTTCCAGAGCCGCGGGGACCATGAAGGACGATGAATGTCTCCGCCGTCTCAGTCAGCCAAGCTTGCAGCTGGCTGATGTCCTTCTGACGATCTTCCCAGATGGCAGATAGACCCCGAGGATCCGCTTTACGCCGTCCAAAATACAGCATGTTGGCCTTGTCCGCTTGCCTGCGAATCCACTGCAAAGCCGCGTTATCCTCGTTGTGGAGAGAGGACTTGATCTTCATCTTGATGAAGAAGGTCCTGATAGGGTCGAATATGATGACCGTAATAGTGGCAACCAGAGCTGCTACTGCGGGGATCACAAGTCTGGGGTGGGTGAAGATCCAATCCTTGATCATGGAGAACTTGATCTTGCGCTCATAGTTGATTTTGAACCTAGTGCCAGTCTTGCCGCCGCCCTCTTCTTCAAAAGCGGCATACCCGTGCATGCAATTCTTTGCCATCACTGCGAATCGGGGTCGACTGAATCGTAAAGTGGCGTACCTCGGTTCGATCTTGGAATCAGAGGGTTGTGGCTGAATATCCAGTAGTTTTCCAAAGGGACGGAAAAGAGAATACAGTGCTTCTTGAGTTAATTCCCTAGCAGGGCCCTCTGTCGAATTGGGCAGGAACTCTACTCTCAAGGTTTGGCTGGGAAGTCGATAAAGATCCTCAATCCAGGGTCGTCCACGTACTAGATCTGCATTGGCGGTTTGAAATGGGTTGAACCAGGGCCTGATGGGGTTCTTCGCAATGTAATTCTGCGCCGCGACTTTGACTTCCTCGTCGCTGACACCGGGGCTCCGTGCATACTTGACAAATGCACCACCTTCTTTGTAGCGAGTCACGACTTCTTTGATTTCAAGGTCTAATTCCTTTGGCAGTGCCCGCTCGGCGATCCGCTTGGGATCCGATGCAGCGTAATCGGGATTGTTTATTCTCTTTAAGATTCCTTCAAGAGGTTGGATATGGCTGAGGGGACCCCGCAGGAACCACTGGAGTCGCTGGGGAAAGATGTCTAGAGCTGTTTAGCAACGATGAAGCGCGATTTCCCCCAATATTCTGATACACACTATTCACGTAGAGAAGGCCCTCATTTTCTTCGAGCTTGATATGTCCAGACTGAATCGACGACGTTGAACGTGCACCGACTGGCGAGCGTCTCCAAAGCGGCGCTGATCTCCACCCCAGACCATGAGTATGCAGATTGGTGGTATTACAGCGCAGCGGAGTCGCCCGCGCAGTCGAAGCTGCTCTCGCAAAATATACTCGCTGCATATCAAGGGGTACTCATATCGTCAGGAACAAGTGTGAGAAGAACAGGATTCAATTGCTCGGAGCCAGTAATGACGTCGCGCGATCATCTTATCGGGGACGATCTTTGGCACGTGATATTATCAGAAAACCGCGTTGTCAGTGTCGGACTTGACAAAATAGCACTCGATTCAAAGAATCGCCAACGCAATCATGGGCTGGCTGTGGGCATCTGGTCCTCAAAAGGGCGAACCTGAAGACACATCGAAACCACCCTCAAATACAAACCCTCCCGAACCAGCGTCTCCGAATGCACCGCCGACAAAGAAGATGACCCCGGCCGAACAAGCTGATTTTGAATTTAATCAGCTCTTCGCCAGTCTCCAAGAAGCAGAGAAGAACCCGAGCAAATCCAATGCGCTCCTGAACAGTGACGCGACTCCCTCAGAACCTACCTCCCCCATCGCCGAAGAATCTCTCTACCCGGACGAAATGTCTTGCCGCACAGCGTTCGACTACGCCTTCTTCTGCCAGTCCTTTGGTGGCCAATTCGTGAACGTTTACCGGTATGGTGAAATGCGCTCATGCAGCGAGCACTGGGACAACTTCTGGCTCTGCATGAAGACCCGTGGCTGGGGAGATGAATTGCGCAAAAAGGCCATCCGCGCTCACAACCAGAAGAAGGCCATCAAGTGGAAGACTGGTCCTAGCAGTGAGGACGTCTGGGATGTTCGACTCGATCCGGTCCGTGATGCTTTCAAGGGCGATTTCGCCGCACTGGAGCGCGAGATGAAGGCTGAAGCAGAAGCCGAGGCGGCCTCAAAAGCGGCTGCATGATCGCGTTTGTTTGGGCTGTCGAGAAGTGGCCGTTTTGTTAACTTATCTCATGAATGGACATAGATACCTCCTGGCGTGGAAATTGTATAATATTTGGTCTAGGGTGAATTCTCAGCTCTGACAATAATCTACTTCCCGACCCAACCGTCTCTACCCTTATCCAAACGGCATTTCACTATAAGGACCTTCCCACATCTTGTCGCTCACACATCTACTTCAAACTGAGGACCCCATGAACAGCTAATCCAATCCCAAGCACCCCAAGCCTAATTGGCAATTCATCCCCACCAAGCCAAACCGAAACAGCGACAGCAAAAGCAGTGAAAATCTCCAAAATCAAATGAAACCTCGGACTAAACAGAAGATTCCAAGCACCCAACACTGGCCCAACAACGCCTGCCAGAGACGCAGAAATAGAATCCATCGCTTCTTCAGCCCGAGGAACAACCAACCCTCTATCCACCAAACAACCGACCTTCCTTTTCTTCCTGTTCCGCCGCGGTCGCTTTACAGCCACACGCACCTCCTCTTGCTTCTCCTCAATAATCCCAAGCCCAGAAGTCGCATCCATGGCCCCAGAAATTGTATCCCCCACGACTCCAGATATCGTGGACTCCATAGTTCCATCGAACCCGCATCTAGAACTTTTATTCCGAAGAGAATCAACATACGAGTTCTTGCCAACTTCTATCTTCGCCATGGCGGCGTCCTTTTCTTCTTGCGTTTCCATCAGTACGATGTCTAGCATTTCGTCGTAGCGGGCTTTCCAGCTCTCTACACTGGACTGGCGACTTTGGGCTTCGTATTCAATCTCGCGTTCTGGGACGTGAGACATAGGTCTTCTGCTTTTTCGGCCCATTTTGAGACAATGTTATTGAGATATGGCGTGGGAAAAGAATATGTTCATGATGTGGTTTATTTGGTCAAGGTAGTAGGCGAAAAAGGGGGGTTTATAACTTCGACTGGGTCTTTCAGGTAGAGTTGATTCGTGAGACAAAGCACTTGAGTTTCAAATACTTTTCATGAACAATGACGAGGGGACAAATGTATTCTCGTGACGCTCTACTTGTCAAAGATGCTGAGACCGATGTTCATGGAAAATGAATACAAAGAAATGGCATAACGACATGCAGTATTTCCAGGAAACGATGTCACTACCTACACTGTTCCATTGTTATTCGTTATTCGAAACTTGATGCCAGGACACACTAACCCTCTTAGGATATTGAAAGGAATGTCATTCTGCTATGGCAGAAGCGCCATGTTCTTCTATAGTGAGATTGGGGAAACACAAAGCCGTCAAAAGATCCTACTTGCGCCGTTTAGAGATGGAAAAAAAAGGTGAGTGGATGAAGACAATGAGATAGAAGACTGTGGACTGTGCCGTAATTCTTTGCACCAAAGGTGCAAGTTCCAACGAAAAGACTCAAATGTGGCTTTGGAAAGTTGACATGGGGCAGGCATCAAGAGCAGCTGTCGAGCTACCACAGGGATTCCAACAGGTGACCGCTACTATGACAAGCCGGTACTTCACGATAAATGGCCTAGGCCATAAAGACTTCTAGGTTATCTTAGAGAGGTTTAGAATTCCTTCGCAGTAGAGTTCGAGAGATAATGAAAGAGCGTAAGAGGTGACACCGGTTTCCGGAACTACTGTATGTACAACACGAAACAAAATAATCACCGCACTGCAGACGCTCTAAACACCTTGCCAAAATAAACGCTGCTGACATGATAAACACGCATGGAAAGCAAAGACCAAGGATCATGAAAGAAAAAGGGAAAGAAATAGCGTTCATCAGAAGAGAAGACCTCCAACCTCCCAGGTAAAATGAGAATCCCCATCTAACCAGCCCCAGTTTAACTTTTGCACGTTGAAATGGACATCCCAGCATGACCTTCATAAGAACGTGATCCCCGTAAATATATCAGTCACTTCATCTATGCAATGACCTGGGTCTCGGCAGGCTGGGGCACCGAGTCGATGGCTGGGCGGCGAATGATACCACCAGTCACGGGCAGCTGCGAGCTGGTTCCGCTAAGGAAAGCATCGACTTCGCGCGCGCACTGGCGGCCCTCGTTGATACCCCAGACAATCAGGGACTGGCCACGACGGCAGTCACCGGCGGCGTAGACACCGGGGATGTTGGTCGAGTATTTGCCAGGGGGGGTCTTGACGTTCTTGCGAGGATCACGCTCGATCTCGTCGCCGAGCAGGCGGTCCTCGGGACCCAAAAATCCCATAGAGAGAAAGAACCAGGTCGGCGGGGAAAAACTGCTCGCTGCCCTCAACAGTCTTCATGTCCCAACCGCCGGTGGCGCTCTTCGTCCACTCGACACGGACAGTATTGATGCCCTTGACACGGCCGCTGCCGTCGTCAACGAACTCGGTCGACATAACGCAGTACTCACGGGGGTCCTTGCCCATGTGGGTCTTCACCTCAGAGTGACCGTAGTCAACACGGTAGATACGGGGCCACTGGGGCCAGGGGTTGTCACCAGCACGCTGGGGCGGGGGCTGCGGCAGAAGCTCGAAGTTGGTAACTGATTTGGCACCGTGGCGGACGGAAGTACCAATGCAGTCGTTACCGGTATCACCACCACCGATTACAACGACGTGCTTGTCCTTGGCGGAAATGTACTCGCCGTCGGAGAGACCAGAGTCCAAGAGCGACTTGGTGTTCTTGTGCAGGAATTGCATGGCAAAGTGGACACCCTCAAGCTCGCGACCAGTGACCTTGAGGTCACGGGCAACGGTAGCACCGGTGGCGATGATCACAGCATCGTTGGAGGCACGAAGAGAGTCCAAAGTTACCTCATTGTCGGGGCCAACAGCGACACCGGTGACAAACTGAACGCCCTCGGCAGCCATGAGGTCGACGCGGCGCTGAACGATCTTCTTGTCGAGCTTCATGTTGGGAATACCGTACATGAGGAGACCACCGATGCGGTCAGCACGCTCGTAGACAGTCACGCTGTGACCAGCACGGTTGAGTTGATCAGCAGTAGCCAGACCAGCTGGTCCGGAACCGATGACGGCAATGGTCTTACCAGAGCGGGTCTTGGGAGGGCGAGGAATCATCCAGCCCATCTCGAAACCACGGTCGATGATAGCGCACTCAATAGACTTGATACCGACGGGGTCCTCGTTGATGCCCAGGACACAAGCACCCTCACAAGGAGCAGGGCAGACACGACCAGTGAACTCGGGGAAGTTGTTGGTCATGAGCAGACGGTTCAAGGCATCCTGCCACTGGTCTTGGAAAACTAATTCTGTCCACTTGGGAATGATGTTGGAGATGGGACAACCAGTGTCGGACTGACAGAAGGGAACACCACAGTCCATGCAACGAGCAGATTGGTACTTAAGCTCATCCTCGCTCAGGCGGTTGGAAAGCTCAGCCCAGTCACGAGTACGAGTAGTAGGATTACGATACTTCTCGCTGCGGCGACTGTACTTCATGAAACCGCGGGTCTTGTCTAGAATCAGGGCAGAACGCTTCTTCTCGGTCTTCTCGTCGCTGATGCTATCCTCGATATCCAGAAGATCTGCCTTCTTGGAGTCATCGGTCATAGCCTTCTCAGCAGGAGCAGGGGTGCCCGGAAGCAAGGGAAGAGAGAACTCAGCCTTCTTCGCAGCTTTGGCCTTGGCAGCTTCTTCTTCCATCACACGCTTGTAATCAGTGGGCAGAATCTTGATGAAGCGGGGAAGGGCACGGTTGAAGTCGAGAAGGATACGAGCAGCTAACTCGGAGCCAGTGTAGTGGTGGTGGTCCTCGATTAGACCACGGACAAAGGCGATCTCAGAAGGATCCTCAATGCCAGAGACCTCCACCATCTCCATGTTGACCTTGGAGTGTGCGTCCCGGTTCATGTCAAGCACGTAGGCAATACCACCAGACATACCGGCAGCAAAGTTACGGCCAATGGCTCCCAGGATGAGAACGCGACCACCGGTCATGTACTCACAACCGTGGTCGCCAACACCCTCAACAACGGCTGTGGCACCCGAGTTGCGGACAGCGAAACGCTCAGCGGCCATACCACGGAAGTAGCAAGTACCGAGAGTGGCACCATACAGACAGGTGTTACCAACAATGACGTTCTCCTCGGCCCTGAAGGCAGCGCCGCGAGGAGGATAGACAATGAGACGACCACCAGACAGACCCTTACCAACGTAGTCGTTGGAGTCACCCTCAAGCTCAAGAGTAATACCAGGAGCAAGGTAAGCACCGAAGGATTGGCCAGCGGAGCCCTTAATATTGGCGTGAATGGTGTCTTGGGGAAGGCCAGCCTCTCCGTAGCGTCGGCTGACCTGGTAGGAAAGAGTCGCACCAAGAGCACGGTCAGTGTTGACAACATCGCACTCAATGCGGCAAGGAAGACCCTTCTCCAGAGCAAGCTCAGACTCAAAGATCAGCTTGTTGTCAAGGCGGGTGTGGAGGCGGTGATCCTGCTTGCGGACGTTGTATGTGGCAACGCCGGGGCGCAGCGAATGAGCAGGAGTCAGAATAAGCGAAAGATCAATACGCTCTTGCTTAGCGCGAAGGTCATCGCGAGTCTTAAGAAGTTCAGCACGGCCGACCATCTCGTTAACACTGCGGATACCAAGCTTGGCCATGATAGCCCGCATCTCGTTGGCAATGTAGTAGAAGAAGTTGATAACGTGCTCGGGTGTACCATTGAACTTCTTGCGAAGTTCTGGGTCCTGAGTGGCAATACCGACGGGGCAGGTGTTCAAGTGGCACTTTCGCATCATGATACAACCCATAGCGATCAAAGGAGTAGTGGCGAAACCGAATTCTTCGGCACCAAGAAGACAAGCGATGGCGATATCACGACCAGTGCGAAGTTGACCATCAGTTTGGACGACCACACGGCCACGGAGGTCATTAAGAACAAGAGTCTGATGGGTCTCAGCAAGACCGAGCTCCCAAGGAAGACCGGCATACTTGATACCAGTCCAGCGCGAAGCACCAGTACCGCCATCGTGGCCGGAGATGAGGATGTGATCAGCCTTCGCCTTCGCGACACCAGAGGCAACAATGCCAACGCCAACCTCGGAGACAAGCTTAACGGAGACACGAGCGCGAGGGTTAGAACACTTGAGGTCGTAGATAAGCTGCTTCAAATCCTCGATGGAGTAAATATCGTGGTGAGGGGGCGGCGAGATTAGACCGACGCCGGGGGTAGAGTGACGGGTGCGGGCGATGGGGCCAAGCACCTTGTGGCCGGGAAGCTCACCACCCTCACCGGGCTTGGCTCCCTGGGCCATCTTGATCTGAAGCTCGTCGGCATCAGCGAGGTAGTTGGAAGTCACACCGAAACGACCAGAGGCGATCTGCTTAATGGCGGAACGCATGGTGTCACCGTTCTCCATCCGATTGCTGCGCTCAGCGTCTTCACCACCTTCACCAGTGTTGGATTTTCCGCCCAGACGGTTCATGGCAATAGCCAAGGTGGAGTGAGACTCCATGGAAATAGATCCATAGGACATGGCACCAGTGACGAAACGGCGGACAATCTCAGTCCAGGGCTCGACCTGGTCAATGGGAATAGGAGTACGCTGGTCAAAGTCGAACTCGAGCATGCCACGCAGAGTGCAGTTCTTAATTTGTTCGTGCTCTGCCTTGGCGTAGGCCTCGTAGGATTTATCGTTCTTCGTGCGAACAGCATCCTGCATGTTGGCAATGCTGACGGGATCGTTGATGTGAGCCTCGCCGCCATCACGCCAATGGTACTCGCCCGTCTCGGTCAGACCAGGAATCTCGACAATCTCGCGCGAGGGGTATCCGCGCTCGTGGAAGGCAAAGGCATCCTGAGCAATCAGCTCGAATGTGATACCGCGGATACGGCTGG